TTACCATAAAATGACTGAGGGCCGACACTTGCACTAAGGCTTGAGTTGAAGACTGATTGAAGAAAAGCCAGGAAACAAGGAATATCCCTTGGTAAGCACCACTGTAAAAACTTTTGACAGATCCTGAGGTAAATCTTAGTGGTAGAATTACGAGTGAAGGAAAGGAGGGTGTCACAGATGGAGTCTGAAAAACCCTGCTCCTTGAGAATTAGCCTTGCAGCAGCCAAGCCGACATCTTTAAAGTTTCCATGGGGTGTTTCCATACTGGGTGTTCCAGTAAGGTTGGAGAGCAAGGAAGAACCCAATGAGAGACTGCCAGCTTATTGATTTCTGAAAACCAGCTCTGGTTCGGCCAATAAGGGAGGATATCTAACACCCTTGATTTGTCTGCAAGTATTTTTTGTACAATCCGTGCTAGTAATGCTACTGGAGGGAAGATGTAGGCCACCTTGAATTTCCAAGGGATTGAGAATCCGTCTAGAACTAAAGGGAGATCTTGTTTCATAATGGAAGCAAAATTTCATACTTTTGTGTTCAATCTGTTGGCAATGAGATCCATCTCTGGTAGACCGAACCTTCTGACTAGGATCTTGAATGTTCCTGGATGAAGGGACCATTCTGTCTGAGTTCAGTGTTGCCTTCTCAGAATGTCTGCCACTCTGTTATATGAGCCTTTGATGTAAGTTGCTGAAATGGACTCCATTTGAGCCCAAGCCATGATCTGAGCACAGAGCCTTGGGAGTGTTATTACCTTTGTACCACCCTGACAGTTCAGGTAAGAGACAGTAGTGAGATTGTCTGACTGAATTCTCACGGATTTGTTTCGGATTTCTAAATTGGAAGCTAGAAGGGCATTCTATACAGCTTTCAATTCTCTGTAGTTTGAGGACAGAGCAGCTTCCGTTTGGGACCAGGAAAAAGAGATCCCAGATGTGCACCCCAACCTGTGACTGATACATCTGTATTTATGGTGACCCAATTTCTTTGCTTGAATGAGAGACCGATTTTCATAAATTTTGAGTCCATCTACAAATCCAGTTGACTTTTTACTCTGTCTGAGATTTGAATGTTTGTCCAGATCTTCTTCTCTTTTGGACGATTTTAACAAGATTTCCCATTGCAGAGGTCTGATCTGAGATCTTGCCCACTTTAGTGCCGGGATGGTGGATGTAAGGAGGCCTAAGCAACTCATTGCTTGTCTGACCAAACATCGATTCTTTTTCTGAAGAATACAAATCTTGTTTTATTCTCCTAAGTTTACTACTTGGCAGGAAATTTTTTTGAGCCACCGAATCCACCAAAAAGGCCTAAAAACAGATTCCTTTCCAGCTGTTCTATTGATTCTGCCTTCAGCAGCCAATCGTCTAAGTAAGGGACGATGGCTGTGCCTTTTATTTTCAACACGGCTGTTAAAGGTAGAAAGATCATGAAAATATGAGGAGCTAGGCCAAATGCAAGTGCCCTGAACTGGAAATGGTTTTTGTTTGCCTGATTTTATTGCAAACCTGAGAAACCTTATTGAGCTTACGGCACATGAAGATAGGCATCCTTGAGATCTATTTTCGCCATGTAATCTCCCTTCTGAGGAATATGAGCGAGGGAAAATATATTTTCCATGAGGAATATGAGCGAGGGAATATGCTTTTAGGTCTAGAATAGGATGAAAAAAACTTTTGTCTATTTTTTTACGAGAAAGACAAGAGTATACACCTTGGAACTCTTGGTGTTTGGTACTTTTTCTATGACTGCTTAGTTTAGGAGTGTCAGTGAGGCGAGTGAGAAGGGCTTCGGACTTTTTAAAAATTGTATATTGACACCAGGAATGCTGAAGAAGGGGTTCTTGTAAACTTTATTCTGTAGCCTTCTTCTGTAGTATGCCATATCCAACTGTTGGAAGTAGTTTCTTTCTATTTTTGAACAAAGTATTTTAGACAGCCTCCCACTCTTCTGGTGTCAATATTTTCTTCTATTATCTGTCTTGTTTTGGTATTCTCTCATGCCTTCACAAAATGGTTTCTGAAACCTCCTAGATTTATCTTGAAACCAAAAGGATCTTTGACTCCGTTATTGAAACCTCCTGGTGTTAGAGGATCTGAATTCTTGTGACAGGGCCTTTTTAGTATCAGCCATTTGTTTAATAATTTCTTCCAGTGTAGATCCGAACAGTTTGTTCCTCTCAAAGGGCAGTTCGCAGAGATACGCCTTAGATGCTGTATCTTCCGTTCAAGATCTCAGCCACAGGGCCCTCCTGGCTACTGATGATAGACCCAGTATTCTGGCAGAAAGTTTGAGACATTCTTCGGTCATATCTTGAATAAATTCATTAGATAGACATAAAAGGTTAAATAAGTGCGACAGGTCTTTGTCTGCTTTTTCTGCAACCATATCCTCCAAAGAGAAGAGCCAGGCACCTTGCGCCTTTGCTACTACTGCTCCTGAAATTGCTGCTTTGCATTGATAACCTGCAGCCTGATAAGCCCTTCTGCACGATGTTTCTGCGCACTTATCCATAGACTCCTTTAAACTTGAAACTTCCCCTATAGGAATGGTGGTTTTTTTTGTTTTTGTTTTTTAAAGCTGGGCTACTTGGCTGTCAACGTTCGGTAAATCTTCCCATCTTTCTTCACTTTACAACTTAAAAATCTGTTTAAAATGTTCAGAAACAAAAGCCAGTCTTTCAGGATATTTCCACTCCCTCTGGAGCAGCTCCAGAATTCTGGGATTAGTAGGGGAACCTTTGGCCTTACTTTTAGTGGGTTCCATTCCCTAAAATAAGGCAGCGACTTCATTAACCAATTTTGTAAGTTCCTCTGGAGGAAAACCTTCATCCAGGCTTGAGTCTAGGCTGGAAACTTCCGATGTCGAAGAACTTGAGCATTCACCTGAAGGCCGTTGTGATTGAGAAGATGACTTCAAACGCTTAAGTTTTTTTATCTTCTTTTTCTGGAGTCTTAACAGCACCGCTGTCATGCTTTACCAAAACCTTAAATGATACGAATGTTTGAGAAAGGATTTCCTGAAACCAGCTCAAAAAAAGATTGCATCTCTTTTTGTTTAGATTTTTCTAAGGATTGTGCAGCACACTGGTTGCACATCTTTTTTCTGCATCCGTCTGGCAGTGGAACAGCACATTCCAAGCAGCAGAGGTGTTTAGCTTTAAATGTAGCCTTCCTGGGAGGTGGAGCTGACATTTTCTTTGTCCTTGTCTGGGGATGTAGGACTGAACATATCTGAAATAAAATAAGAATATCACAAGAAATATAGAATAAGAAATAAAAACTGAGGCATTTTAAAGTAGAGACTAATTAATCTCACCTCAAAATACCGGAGGGCTTGTGACAAGGTGAACCAGATACTGGCGACCACCCAGGTGTCAGTCTGTTCAGTACAGCTTATATTACCAATTTTGCGGCAAATGTTTGACGTTCCGATCATGCATGCGCATTGGCGTGATCAGAACTTCAGTGGAATGCAAGGCCACCTGGGAATGCGTTCCACTGCTGTGGCAGGGGCATGGCCTGCTTCTGGATTGGAGGGCCGCCCGGGACCTCCTACTTCCTGCCGGCATATTGAAAAACCCCTTCCATTTGCATTCCGTAACGCATGCGTGGAACTGGTACCTCTCAACTCACCTCCCAGGGAGCTTTTGGGTCCACATCTCCCTGGCTGCAACCGGTCTGTCACCAGTTTTTCTTGGAGCGTCTTGTCCGTCCCGTTGTCAGGACAAGAACAACTGTGGATGAAAGGAGGTTACTGCCTTTTATGAGCAGGTAGGCGGGAGTGTTTAAATTTGTATATCTTTCAGAGACTCTTGTCCACATAAGAAGGAACAACCCACTTGTGCAGAACTGCCACTTACAACAGAAAAAAAATAAAAAATTTTTACGGTGAGTAAAATTTCAGGTTTTTTTGTGATCTGGGCTGCTTGCACTTTACACTTTTATTTGGACATTTCTCTGGACTTATGTACATTTTTACCAGTTATCTTTTACATAGTTTTTTTTGTAGTCTTTTTATATAGTATATAGTTTTTATCAGTATAAAATGTTTCCAGCGCTACCTTCTCTCCTTTTTTCTATATACTATACGATTATCTTTGGGGTCTGTGAGGGTGTCCCACTGACTTAGGTGAGCTGCCCCCTTTGTTTGTTGTTGCCTGATAGCGCTGAGCCATTGTTCCTTCGTTCTCAATGAATTATAGCAAAATGAATTTCAAAAGCTTGTCTAAAAAAAAAAAAAAAAGACAAAACCTGGAAAACAGATGAAATGGAGAAATTTTTCACACCAACGCAAATAAGCGCGCGCACACACACAGTGCAGATACACAGACTCACGATGACACACTTTCAGATAGAAGCACATAATGATATACAGATACCTTATATGACCTTAATGTTTACATTTGGTTTTCAATTAACCACACAGTTCTCGGTTTAGTAAACACAGTGACTTGTGAATTTGGTTTATATTTGGTATTCTTTAATGTGGATGTTTGCCTATATAAAATCATGTGGTTTGATGTATGAAGGCTGCCCCCCTCAGATCTTTTACTTACGAACCTGCACCTTTGTTCCAAAATAACAATTTCAGTATCTAAGAATGATAGTGTAGTACAGAGACCAACCAATTTCCCAACTATGGTCATTTATTTTTATCTTTTTATTGTTATGATGTGTTCCCTCTATGAGACATTTATCTCATCTTTGTGGTCCTACAATTTAGAAATCATCCAGAGAGGGCACTAGGGGTTGGAGAAAGCAATACATCTTTCAAAACACATACAAGCCATCAAGCACCCTACAAGCAAGAACTTGGGAATATATATTTTTATTTCAAGTTCATTAAATATATGTAGTGTCAGTTGAGCACTCTCAGCCAAAAAAGTGTGGCCCTGTATTAGGCCATGCGTAGCTCAAGAGAACTCTGATGTAGCACAGGTGCACCCAGGTAAGTTATCAATTCATTTTGAAGGTTTGAGTATACCTTTAAACCAAATGTGGCTTTAGGATGCTCTGTTCTGGTCTAAGGGCTCAATGTGCAGATAAGATTGCCAAGGTTAAAATATTGCTGGAACATACAAGAGCAGTGATTCTAAAACACAGGAAGTCTCAAGTGGTGTTTGTAAGAAGCACGGTCATTTTCCATGCAAACAGGAAGAATTTATTAGAAAAATAGGTTCTCTCAGTCTGACAATGAACATTTGCTGTATGCACTACTGCTTACTTAATGTCATAAATTAGTTATACTTATTGTTTTTTAGTATTGGCGTTTACCAGTTACAACACTTATGGAATTATCAATTGGACACACACTGCCAAGCACTAAAACAGGACAAACAAATAATATCTTAACTTTCATTTTAATATATAAATATTAGAAAATATTATGTAATATTTAACAGCACCATGCCATAGAATAGGATATGCATTGCATACCTAAAGCCCAAACCAAATCCAGAACTTTGACTCTATGGCAGATTTTGAGATACCGAAGCAGACCTAACTCCAGTAATCAACAAGAGAGATTGAATAAAACCAGCCATCTTCTACCTTGTGGAAGGTCAATGCAAAATGGTTATGTTGTGATGTGTAATATAGTGCTTGGGATACATTCCTTCAGAACTAAATGCTTCTATAATGTTAATTGTTAAATAAGTTCCTCATGGTAGAGTTTTACAGAGTTCTTGGAGCATCCAACGATTGTCCTTAACTTTATCTCTCAGACAAGTGTATTCCTGCACCAACTCTTCAAATTCAGGGCCCAGGAACTCATATGAAGATAGAATCTGTTGGGACATGGCTAACTCATGCTTCTCAGTCTTCGCAGCCGCTTCCAGGCTGGCCCTTAAAAAGCAATAAATTTATTCAATAGGTCAAGAGGACTACTTTACAAAACCACAAACTCTGCCCAGAAAGCACAATGGACCTCACCTGATTTTTCTGTGAACTTCAAGTTTTTCAGAGGTATATGTGTCTGTAAGTACCTGCAGCTCCTCCATCCTGTGATCAAAATCAAGACACTGTTAGCAAGAATAAGTACACATTGACTACTTTACCCAAATAACCATATTGAGATCTCACCGAAGTTTAAGGAACAATGCGTTACTTTTTGCCTCCAAGTACTCTGCATTTATACGATCAATGTCAGACTGAGCTTGCAGGCGCAGCCGTGAGGCAGCCTCTTGCATGAGCAAAAGGCAGCGTAGCAAGACCTAGACAAAGATACAGAAAATAAAATGTATGTAATATTCTAAATTATCATTTATATAGCATTGATATATTTCACATTGCTTTACAATTATAGAATGACATTTTTTGGACAAGTAATTGACATAGTAAATATTAACATAGACAAGAAAGTGAAATTGGTGTGTGGAAGAACCGAACAGTGAAAGGAGAAAGAGTGAGCTGGGCTATGGAAGTGCTGTAATGAGAGTCACTCGGGAAGATAGTAGACTATCTAAAAGAAGTGAGTTTTCAGTAACTTCTTAAATGACTGAAAACTAGGGGGAAGAGTCTGATGGCATAGGGCAACAAATTCCATAAGAATGGTGTAGCCCTTGAAAAATCTTGCAGATAAGAGTTAGTGGTGCAAAAAAAACAGCATATGGCAGGAAAAGTTCACTTGGATATCGAAGGGCACAAGAAGGGGTGTATTTGTTCAGTGAATAGGAAATGTAGTGAAGAGTGGTGTCATTGAGTGCTTTGTAGGTTAGTGTACTGTACAGGAAGCCAAGGTAATGAGAGGTGAAAGAGTGATGTGTGATACATAAAAACACATAAAAAATGTGTTATATAGCTCTCTGTCAAAGGCTTTGTAATGTCCAGCTAGATTATTTACCAACTTCCATGGAAAAAGTCCTCCTTTTTCCCACAAATCACTATATGCAACTCAAATGTTACCAGACTTCAGTCATTAGTCAAATTACAATACAAGGGAAATGATCTTGCTCATATCTTAAAAGAACAATATAGGTACCCAGACCACTTAAGCTAATTAAAGTGGTTTGGGTGCAATGTCCCTTTTGCACCTATTGCTGCAATGTACTTTTGGTCCAGTATCAGACGCTGGACATGCTCACGCTCTGCATTCCTCTGATTCAATGCTTTCTTATGGGGTGGTATAATGCGCCCACTTCCCACGGCCGTCAGAGGGGGCGAAGTCAGGACCCAGCGCCGACGGACATCAGTGCTGGGAAAAGTTAAGTAAATAATAGGGTTTCATAACCTTTATTTACCCAGTCACGGGGTCGCGAGGGTTGTGGGTGGCAGAGGGAGCTACAGTGCCAGGAATACAGCTTTGTATTCATGGCACTACAGTATCCCTTTAAGCTATAGAACAAGACATGAAAGCTTAATAACATAGCACACACAGAACAACGCAAAATTATAAAACAAAAATACATTAGTTGAGCACTGCATGGTACACATACTTGAGGGTACATTTCTTGTTGTTTTCCTAGGGTAGCTTCAATATCCAGCTGCTTCTCTTTCTCATTTTTTAGACGTCTGCTCTCATCCTCCAGTGTGCTAGCCAAACGCAGAGCTTTTGCTGCACGAAGGACATCACCCTCTTCATCTGAGATACATAGATAAACAGTCAGAGACATCCAATGGCTGTGTGTCAGAGCTTACATTGCGGTACAATTATGTCATGCACTGGAGTTGTTACTGGTCTATTTAACTAAACTGTGCAAACACTTTCCTTTCAAAGATTCCATTACCAATATTATTGTCCCTGGGATTTAGTTATCATAAAAATGATGGGGGATTGCAGGGCCAATACAGAAACAGGCTTGCGCAAATATTAAGAAATTATTGCAAACATATAACCATATTAAACTAATATTTAATGAGGGGGGTTTATCAATGCAAACCTAGATTTAATATTTTTTAAATTTTTTAAAATGATTTAATATTTTGAAAAATAATATTTTAATAGGGATGTTTTTTTTTTAAACTTTTTTTATATATGTTAAAAACACATTTACTTACCGTAAATGTATTTTCCCAATGCAAGGCAATGTTCACATATGGATTAGAGGCAATGCTCACATGACATACAGAGCACTGAAATTAAATTTTAAAACCAAGACCTCCTTCTGTTACCACTTACTCTGAAATAAAACTAGTGCTCCCCACATGGGCCCCAGTAAGATAAAATGCACACCTTATTAATGCAAAAGCATTAAAGGACCACTCTAGGCACCCAGACCACTTCAGCTTAATGAAGTGGTCTGGGTGCCAGGTCCAGCTAGGGTTAACCCATTCTTTTATAAACATAGCAGTTTCAGAGAAACTGCTATGTTTATAAATGGTTTAATCCTTCTCCCAAGCCTCTAGCGGCTGTCTCATTGACAGCCGCTAGAGGCGCTTGCGTGATTCTCACTGTGAAAATCACAGAGAGAGCACGCAAGCGTCCATAGGAAAGCATTGTGAATGCTTTCCTATGCGACTGGCTGAATGTGCGCGCAGCTCTTTCCGCGCGTGCGCATTCAGCCGAATGGGCGGAGAGGAGGAGGATCGGAAGAGGAGAGCTCTTACCCCTAAGTTTTTACCCCTTTCCAGAGCCAGGCGGGAGGGGGTCCCTGAGGGCACTATAGTGCCAGGAAAAGGAGTATGTTTTCATGGCACTATAGTGGTCCTTTAAAAATTTATTTGAGGGAAGAAAATTTGTATTGCCTCTGAATTCTAGGGAAAAATACATTTAAGGCAAGTAAAATGTACGTTTAACCTTATCGATAGAGGCAGTACTCATGGGGATTAAACAAGCTACATAAAAATGGGTAGGGGTCAGACATGAATCTTCCTATAGTGCTTCATGAATGTGTTTAAAGAAGTCCAATTAGCCAGCACATTCCTTTGAATGAGTGGGCTTTAATCAGTAGAGAAGATAGAACAGACTGACAAGTATATACCAAGACAATGGATGCTTTAAGCCATCTGGCCAAAGTAGCTTTGGAGGCCATATTTCCTGTTTTTGGCTTTAAAAAAAAACAAAACACACTAATGTTCTCACTTCAACAAAAAAATAACGTGTTCTATCCAGATAAAATTGTAATGATCTCTTATCATACAAATACATGAAATCTCGGTTTCTTTTCATTCTTAGGATTCATGTAGAATATAGGTAACATTCTCATGATTTGGATTGTTGACCAAACAAACTATAGGTCAAAATTTAGATGTAGTGTCAGGACCACCATATTCATGTGAAAAACCAGGTATACAAATCTGTTAGAAAGGGCTTACAATTCCCCAATGTACATAGCCGAGAAGATGGCTATTAGAAAGAGATATTCTTTCAAGGTAGATACTAGAGCTCAATTGACTGGCTTGAAAAGAACAAAGCAGAAAGGTCTATATTCAGATCACATGGGGGAACTAATTTCCTCACTTTCTGCAGGATATTAGAAACTGCCTTAACAAATATAATGAGGGAGTAGGGGTGGAAAGATTAAAAACTGAAAAAAAAAAAAAAAACACACAAAAAGAAATCCCAAAACAAACAAGCAAAAAAAAAAAACACCTTTCTATATTTGAAAAAGGACCCCGTGTCTCAGGAAGATGGTCACTGACCATCAAATTAACAATACTCTTGTTGAAGGCCAAAAATTCATCTGTGAATCTAAAGACACAATGCTGTGGTTCCATTCTAATAATATTTTGCTGTAGCATTCTCACCCAGGATTTTTGCCCATTTAACTGCAGGAATAGAAGTGGTTAGCAGACCAAGACATCTCACAGCTACTCTCACTGTGCAAGTCTTTTTAGTAGAAAGCCAGTATAGGTCATTTGCAAGTTTTGTCTATTTTTCCTTCGTGCCAATTCTGTGATTAATCCTAGAGAAACTATTTTTCTTGCTGGAAAAAAATACAACAGTGGTGAGAGAAAAGAAAACTTTCACCTAAAGTTAAAATGGTTGTAGGGTACTTAGGGCATAACCCAAAATAATCACAGAAAGAAAGACTGGAATGGGTTAACTAAACAACGCACCCAATATCCAGCCAGGTACCCTAATATGGATTGCTCTGCCAGCAATTGGCAAAAAGTGCCTTTTAAAGAGAGCAAAAAAAGAACTTAAATTTTATTAAATCCCTGTTTGGGTAGAGAACAAAGAAAAAAAAAGGATCTCTAATTTAATGTGAAAATTCAGACGAATGTACTGTTTTTGTTTCAAGGATCGAGGAAATAGGTACAATTATAGGTGGTAATTGTTGGGATATTTGGGGAGGTTCACAGCAGCGTATCCCAGATTGGGTAATAAATCAACTGAGAAGCTAACAGTGAGTAACCAAAGTACCAACACCTTATGCCCAGATTATAATATCCCAATAATGAATGGTGCCATATTTCCAACTAACTTGTGGCACCGTGCATTATTGAGATATTATAAACTGCAACTCTGAACATTCCAAGTGGTTCACTGGGTGGCCGTCGATTTGTATGCACAAACATGTGGCGGCGGCCATCTTGTTTTGTCGAACGCATCCAGCGGGTCATGGAACTATTCTGGGCAGGAGCCTGGTGTGCGGCCGGTCAGAAATGGGAATTCCATGCAACTTTTGGATTCCTGAACCGATCTGGGTGATTTTTGAATATCTTGCTCACCCAGATTGGTGCTATCAGGAAATATATTTTTTATGGGGTTCATGTGTGATTTTGGGGTGTTTCCAAAAAGTATATAAAATATGTCCTTTTTCGTTTGGAGATAATTGAGTTGATACAGTGATTAACTCAATTATCTCCCAAGCAGAGGGGAGGGATTGTATGCCATCTGTGGGAGTGCCTCAGATTATAATGCTATTGTGATTGGTGTATACAATTGTGTCCTTGTCCCCCAACAAGGTCCATGTGGGTGTTAACCTTGCTTGGGGACTTGCATAAAAGGCCAATGTGGCTACCATTAAAATTCAGTTCTGCTTGACCCTCAACACGTCGCCTTGTCTTGTGCTAGTAGGGAACCTGCTTCACAGCTATATCACTAGCTATTGTAAGAGCTCTATTGCCTTATTGGATATTTGGTCGGCTGAGATGACAACTAGAGAATACTACAGCACTGCTCCTCTCAAGGGAAAAGGACATCTCTAACGGCATATTCCCCTTTATACTCGGGGTGGCCGTTACACTTCATTTTCCTAGTTGTGCTGTGAAGACCATCAGGACCTTTGAGAGAGAGAAACACAACTCAAGGAAGATTAAAGTGCAAAAAGGCAAAGCGTTTAATTGACAATGCTCTACTTACCCCTGTTTTTTGATTGACAATCTTAGAAATCATCTGCTCTGCACAGAGACTTGAACATGTAGATATGAGTCTTCAAGATCTAAAGACCATATAGTGGATTTCTTGAGCGATTTGTGTAGTAGTACGGTAGATTCCAGGTGGCATTTATTTTTTGTTACATGTTTGTTTATAAACTTCAGATCTTGAATGGTTCTCCAAGATCCACTTGCTTTGGATACCAAAAATATTCTGGAATAAGTGCCTTTACTTTTTTCCATGCTCATGACTTTCTTGTTTGAAAAGGAGTTTTTTACTTCCTTGATGAGTTGAGCCTTCGTAGTTACTAAAAAGCACATGTGGAATTTAACATTTTTTGGAGGCTTAAATAGAATTCTAATAAATAGCCATTTCTTATGAGAAGAGGACTCTTGTCTGATGTAGACTGGCTCCTGATGTCTTGGGAATTTTTTTTTTTCAAAACTTTAGTTACTGCCTTCCACTCGTATGGCTTCAGAATTGCTCTGTTTTTGCCAGTAGATTTGGAACTGCCTGATCATGTATCCACGTACAGTCTGTGTTCAGAAAAGTTACCGTATATACTTGTGTATAAGTCGATCTCATGTATAAGTCGAGTGCAGTTTTGTGACCAACAATTGTGAAATATGCTATGCCTCGTGGATAAGTCGAGGGTAAAACTTGGGGCTATGAAATTCTGTGATTTTTATAATTATATACACACACACACTCATACAAACACACACACTGCATTATATACACACACACTCATACAAACACACATTCTGCATTATATATACACACACACACACACACACACACACACACACACACACACTCATATAAACACAGACTCTGCATTATATACACACACTGCCATAATACAGACAGTGACTCGAGTATAAGTCGAGTGGGGGTTTTTAAGCACAAAAAATGTGCTGAAAAACTAGACTTATACTCGAGTATATACTGTAGTTCTCCTGAATTCTCTCTGTAACGTGAGCAGCAAGAAACCTGGAATTCCAACAATATCTTTTCTGAAACCTCAGCAACAAAATCTGCTGCTCCTCTGATAAGTAAAAAAAAAAAAAAAATTACTTTCAAAAAACAAACCTCTCAGTATTGTGAATCCAAATTCTTTGTGTCATGACCGTAGCCTGGGCTGCTGAAGTGAGCAAGGCTCTATGTCAAACTTTTTGCCTTTTTGTACATGGAATCCTGTAAACCCGCCGTATCACCTATAAGTAAGGTGCTTTACTCGTCCAGCTGAGCTACTGGGGCGTCTACTTTTTTGTCTTCTTCATTTATGGCAAATACTTCTTTAAAGCATTTACACAAAAAAAAAAAAAAAAATACATGTTTTTTTGGAGGGGGGTAGGGCTGCTCATTATGACGGCAGAACGCACTTCGAGTGAACTCCAAGCCTAATCTTTAGAAAATTTAAAATGAACTACGTCCCAGCACGCCATAAAAGCTCTAACCCGAGACCTACCTGCTTTAGGAACCGACCGGGGTGCCTTGTACTACTTTAGATAACCACATTAAGAGAATTAACCGGAGGCTCCTATGAGGCCTAAGTCGGACGGGGGAAGCGGCCGCTACCCTCGATGTGAATCAATGCTCCTGCAGGAACATATAGTAGCCCCGTGAACCCCCCCTTCCCTCTCTGGACCGGCGGGTTTTATCCCGGTTCCCACTGGACACTCATACACAGACGTAAAGCACCAATAGATTACCTTCAACTGGGAAAGCTAGTTGTTCCACTAAGATGGCGTCTATGCTCTCCGGTTATGGCACCGAGACTCTGCAGCCAGGGAAAGAGTGCTGTGCTCCTGTCGAGCACTTCTTGAAGCGACTGGATGAGCATTTTACCCATTTCTGGGCTTTCTTCGCAGCTCGCCAAGCCCAAAGGTCGCCTAAGCCCACAACAAGCAACCGGAATGGCGGAGGCCGGAGGATGCCTAGGCCTACTTCGGGCCTCACTCCTCACAAAGAGTAATACTGTTTGCTGTTCGCCCACCTAGACCGGAGGCTACAAGGGACAAGGCCAACCTTCGTCGACCACGTAGACAAAGGATCGGCCGCAGGTTACGGTTTTATACCACCACGGCCATTAATCGCACCCCACTGGGGAAGACTGGGAATCTGCGAGCCTTCAAGTTAGTGGCTTGAAAACGATGGCCAGAAAACCGGCCTGGGGCGGGAATGCGTACCTGGATCATGGCTACTCTCATCACACCTAAAGTGTGCAGCAAATGCATTCCTGACTGGGGCATCGGCTGAAGTGACATTTGCCGACTAGGGTAAACTTCCAAATATTGTTCCCCTCACACCTTGATGATATCACCGAGTTCTTTACAGTCTGTGTGCCTGTATTTCTTCAGTTATAAGTTGCCTTACTGAATATTAAGTTTTCATTGTCTACACGCGGTTTGTGCCAAGGCGAAAAACACGTTATGCTTATGTTTATATGCCACCATATACGACCCCATCTACCATACCATAGCATGAATACACAATCTGTTTTAGAAATCGGTATACTTAGTATGATGAGACATGTTAATTCCTTGCAATTCATCTAATGTATACTGAGATACCCATGTTAACTCCAAGGACAACAAAAGTAAAGTTTGTCACCATCTTCCTTTCTACTAGAAATAACTTTTTTAATTAGGTTCCACATACTTGTAAGAAACCATTAGAGGAGATGAAAGATAGAAAAACCCAACAAACTATTAAAACGCCTCAGAGTGCGTTGGAGGGCTGGTGTGAGCACTCTTAATATCTGTTGACCGTCACCCTTTGGGTTGCCAGCTGAGACTGCACTTTAAATACACAAATACACCACTTCCCATTTGACTTGTGGTGCCATAAACGCCAGATCGCTTTGTGCATGCACTCTGGAACGCATTGCAACCTGTGTTTGCTTTCCATCTTGGCTAGGCTAGATAGTCGTGCACCTGGTGTGCCTCATCTCTTTCGGCACCATGCACGGATTGTAGTGGAATTTATAAATCGAAAGCATATGACTGGCGTGCCATCCACCAACCGATCACCATCTTGCTTCCAGTGGCATCCCAAAACAAGCCAAGAAACTGACAGCCCCCCAGGCACCCCTATGCTCGCACTAAGCCAGAAAGATGTACACATCACACAGTCCACTTCCTGGAGTCAGGCAGCCAACCTCTGAACAAAGGAACAGGATAAGGACCTTAACTATTAAAGGCTTCATATATCAGTGCCTTCTGTGTACTGTAAAGAGGTGGCATTTGTAACCACTAACCCCAGGGAAATAAAATTTATGGTAAGCAAAACACACACACACACACACACACACACACACACACACACATATATACACACATACATACATATATATACACACACACACACACACACATACATATATTATATTATATTATATATATATATATATATATATATATATAAAAAATCAAAATTTCTAAAATAATATTTAAAAAAAACTTTAGCCAAAAATATTAAGTCATTTGAAAAGCTTATCAAAAAAATATGAAAATTGAGACTTTAGTTTATAAAGACATCTGCATAATTCATACACATTAAATCACTTTGCATTCATAAAGAGTCACTTGGCATGCCGTCTGGAATTAATTCATTTCACATCAGGAACACACTGTCCACAAACTGACAAGTATCAAGCCTAGCATGACAATGCAGAATTTATAAATCTCCTGGAAAGACATTGAGATCCGAGCAACCATAACGTAATACCAATTTACATGGCAGTCATAAATGGACAAGGCATCACTATTGATTTAGTTTACTATGTCTATGCCCATATGTAGAACAAGAGAACTACCATAAAGAGGTTTGTTGGAGGACATGAGGCTAACCACTGAAACTGTTGTAGTGTGACCTTAAAATATCTCAATGACTGGGTAAAGAGATGATTGAAGGATCACTATAGGGTCAGGAACACAAACATGTATCCCTGACCCTATAGTGTTAAAACCACCATATAGCCCCCCTGGGCCCCTCATGCCTCAAAATCTTACTGTATTCAAGCCGGAAGCTGTAGATCTGCATGCTGTTTGCCTAAAAAACAAACAAGCAGTCTGCTGACATCATCAGAAGTGGTAGCCTGATCCAATCACAATGCTTCCCCATAAGATTGGCTGAGACTGACAAAGAGGCAGATCAGGGGCAGAGCCAGCATGATTCAAACACAGCCCTGGCCAATCAGCATCTCCTCATAGAGATGAATTGAATCAATGAATCTCTATGAGGAAAGTTCAGGGTCTGCATGCAGAGGGAGGAGATACTGAATGTTTGGATGCATTTTAGGCAGCCATGACCCAGGAAGGATCTCGAACAGCCATCTGAGGAGTGGCCAGTGAAGTTATCACTAGGCTGTAATGTAAACACTGCATTTTCCCTGAAAAGACAGTGTTTACAGCAAAAAGCCTGAAGGTAATGATTCTACTCACCAGAACAAATTCAATAAGCTGTATTTGTTCTGGTGACTATAGTGTCCCTTTAAAGAGTATGCAGAGTGAGAGATGACTAAACACATTATGGATGGATAGAGACAGCAAAGGCTATAATTCATGCTATAATCTCAAGTTTTTGCACACACCTGTCTCTGGCTGATGAAATGACAGGAACGTGAAACATTTCTTTTTCAGTGATTCTTCAAGTTGCCTCTGAAACCGATCTGTCATACCAAAAACATTCTGAGGGAGAATCCAAAAGGACATGAAATTCTGTGATAAAAATAGAGGTGTATATATCCCCATCTATATCCCATACAGCCTATTTGGAAGATAGTTATATGTGTTTGAGAAGAAATAGCTAGGGCTCTCTGGGTTTTTACACATGCTGACTATAGACTATTCTGCTCACAAACTGTATGATCTATAATAGTGTTGTGCAATACACACACGGCAGCAGCATAAACATGAGGTGGCTATTACCAACAGAATAATAATAATAATAAATGTACGAAGAGGAATATATTGTGTGCTCTGCCTGCTCCTTTTAATTAATGAAGACAAAATAGGTTTTCGTTAGTTCCCTAGCCCTTTGAGGAATATTTGGCACTTAATTTTAAAAACATTGAGAGGAACACTACTTAAGTCATATATTGTGATTTACAAAAAGTGGCACAGCTGTCACGATTTTGGTTAGTTCTAATTATTTTTCTTCCTCTGAGCCACATTTTGTTTCAGTTTGCACCGTTCCCAGCTGTTTTTTTTTTTTACAACATTGCAGACTTGTACCTGCCATTATATAATTAAGTTATTACATATGTAGTATAAGCATTGGTATTCAGTCATCATTGATGTTTTCTCCCTTCCTTCTTCCTCTTCGATTCCCAATCCCCTTATTGAGCTTCCCAAACAGTGATTTGGGTTAGCTTCTTTTTTTTACTAATTAAAGTTCATCGATAGGGAAAGACAAAGGAAGAAAGAGGGAGAAAACTAAATTCTTTAAGCCTTATCCAACTCCCAATTATCCCCACCCTGTACCCTCCCCCCAACATTTCTTTTAGATCCTATTACAAATTCCATTATTTCCATCCTTTTTTATTCGTTTGTCTCTTGGAGAGAGAGATCACCATCCTATCTGCTTTTTCATTGATTTGCCTGTTTTTTCCGTGGTCAACTTTTTGTCTCTTTAGGTTATTAATTGGGAAGTTTTCTTGCATATTCGTGTAACTATAAGATTCGTGTCTATCCACATGTCCCACTCTTCTATCTGGATATAGCTTTTTCCCCAAATTCATTTAAATACCTTTTTCCATTTACTCCTGCAAGATGACTTGTGATATTACCTCTTTGATACTTGGGATTTTTCTTGTTTTCCAATTTCGTGCTAAGAGTAGTTTGGCTATGGTTGTAATATGTAATATTAATACTTGCAGGGCCAGCCTCTAGGCCATTAGGTGCCCTGTGCGAAAAGTATTCACCCTCCCCCACCCCCCATGTTGCCTGTATACAGTCACGCACACACAGGCATAGCCAGTCACAAACAGTTACAAGCAGACAGTCAGACACGCTCAGTCACACACACTCACACACACACACAGTTATAGGCAGACAGTCACATGCTCAGTTACAGGCATACAGTCACAAAGCCAAACACTCAGTTAAAGGCAGACAGTCACACACAGTTACAGGCAGTCACACATACTGTTACAGGCATGCAGACACTCACACACGCTGATAGGCACACACACATACACACTCAGTTAAAGGCAGATCGTCACACATACAGGCACACAATTGGAGTCACACACAGTTACAGTCACACACACTTACCTCTTTCCATTATGGCTGGAAGAGGAAGTGGATGCAGTTGGTTGTTGGGGAAGCAGGGACTCCTTCCTTATTCCCTCGTCCTGTGCAGCAGTTACCAGGGACTTCGGGTAGGTATTAGCCCCGCCTCCACCTTGCGATAAGCCCTGCCACCTCGATTTTTTTTAATAGAGAATAATGAAATCCTCCACTCGGCTACTTGTTTTAACTTCCCTGCACTCCTATCACCTGGCCATGTGCGAGCTGTGTCGGGCACATGGTGCCCCAGGTCAATGGCGCCCTGTGCAGCCGCACAGCTCGCACACCTCCAAGGCCGGCCCTGAATACTTGTTTTCTCATTATTGGCCATCCTAGATTTAATAAGATTACTCCAGGTTCAAAGCCTAATTTCATCTCAGTTATTTGGTGTATCACTTTTATTATATCTTTCCAATAATTGTTTATGGGTATGCATTGCTACCAAATATAGATTAGGTTGCCTTTGTTAATATCACATCTCCAGCACCTCTCCGATGTCTCTGGGTAAATTCTCTTTAAACGTTGCAGTGTTTTTTTTAATTCTTTATTTTATGCGTGCTGTGTTAAGTTACAAGCTTTGTTATTAACTTTATGACAAAAGTTGTAATGACAATGTTAAACAAATAAGGTCAAGATGTGCTGCACATATTTTTGTAAGAAAACAAGCTTAGTCATAGCAAGGCATTACATTAGCATAGAGGTCATAAAAACATGCAAATTGCCAGTGGATTAAACTAGAAGCAGGTATAGTAATCAATCATACTTAGAGAACGAGAATATTATAGAGTCTTAAACTTATGAGGGTTGCTAACGAAGTTTGCTTGGTCATCCTATAAGGCTTAAAGGCTTTGTGGCCACTGGGTCCCCGCAACACTTTTGGGAAATTGGCATTACCTATGGTGCATGAAAGTGAGTTCGACCTGTATGGCAAATGGCGTCCATTAGTCCCTGATGCTGTTCAGCATGTGGACCCATCTGCATTTGTTTCTTTGCGCCTTTTGTTGCTTGGTCGTGGCTGTGCCGCGGGTGGCTCTCTGTTCCGGCAAATCGGGGGCCCTGTGAGTAGGCATTTGGGCGTTTGGATTGCCCTGCTTGGGTTCCTTCTGTTCCAGCATGGCGGCTTGAAAGGTAGGTGGCTGTGGTCGCCTGTGAGGTGATGCCAGAACTCCCGACATAGTGCCTCAAACCTGGCGTCAAATGATTCCCTACACTGCCAGACCTCCAGGCTTGGTCTGCCATGCAGAGCATCCGCTGCTGCGGCCATCTTGTCGCTGCCGCGCGGTGTCAGGGCGTTGTTTTTGCTTAGATGTTTGGTGAGTCTGGGTTCCCAGTGGTGGCCGGGAAAACCCCCGCCAGCACAAGGGGGAGGGGTGGGACAGGGCTCCAGGAGTGAAGCTCCACTTGTAGGGCATCGCCTCAGGAGATCGTCCAGGTAGGCCTCCAAGCTGAATATAGTGGCTGTTCAAGATTTGGGTCCGGACCAGACAGCGTGCTCCTGGCTTATTTAATAGTCGGTTTGTGGCTCAGGCTGCCGTTTAGCAAAGGTTTTTGTCAGAAATAGCTTGGTTTTAGCTTGATTCAGCGGGAGCCCGAGAGAAACACGTCTAGTCCGCTCAGACACCAGGCCCCGCAGTGTTAAATACCATCTATTTGAAAGTTTAAATTGGGTTTCTATAAGATTTAGACAGTGTATATATTTATATAATTTACTTAGGGAGTTTAGCCAATCTTCTTCCTCTATATGTATTTGTAGCTCTCGTTCCCATTTTTTTATTTATTTATCAGTTCTATACATCGATCATGTTTCCATTTATATATAACTTTAACACATTTTGTCAACAGGTTTTTATAATTTTTTAGTTCAAAGAGGTGGATGGCACTAGTTACTTTCAAGGAGGTATTCTGCCATAAAGCTTTTAATTTGTAAGTAACCAAAAGGTTTCATTCATTGAAATAGAGAATTCCTCTCTAATTTGATTAAATGACTTTATTTGAGGTCCCCCTATTATATCTCTAAGCATGCTTATCCCAACAGTCTTCCAATGATCTATTTTTATATTATCTAACATATCTGAAATTAAAGTGCATCAATTATTCTATTAAGTCCTATTTTAGCTATAAATTTATCCCACCCGCTAGTTAATTCTTTAAGCATCTGTGATTTACTTCTTGCCTCATTAATACGTTTTCTATTAAGATTCAGAATCCAAAATAGTGAACTTAAATTCCCTATCCCTGTTTTAGCTTTTTCCATTTTATATCATGTCTCATGAACCGCTGCATTATTTTGTGATCGCATTATATGAAATAATCTACTGGCCTGATAACATTGTAAAATTTCTGGGCAACCCAGGCCTCCATCTTCTCTTGACCTAGCTAAATTTTTCATTTTCACACTTGCTTTCTTACCACCCCAGATGAATTTTATAAAAGCTGAATGTAAGAACGATAGCCATTTTGGTAAAATGTATGCTTTTAATATATTGATTCTACCTGACCATGAGAAACCCATTCCTCTCCAATCCCTTGAGTTTTTATAAAGGTAAAGGTAAAAATTTGGCTTCTATTATATCTTTTAAATTCAAAGTTATAATTATACCCAAATATTTCAGCCTGTCTTTTTTTTTTACCCAAAAGACGGCCAACGCAGAACTGCGCACGTCGATCACGACGGAACTCCACGCGCTGATAGAAGACCTACAAGGCCTCAACCAGCGAGTCGCACAGATCGAGGCGGACTGTGACCACATGGCATTGGCACAGGCTGGCAGTACAGACACGCTGCAGCACCACACTACAGTGATGAGGCAGATGGCCCTGCATATAGAGGACCTCGATAACAGGGGGAGACGCCAGAATATCCGGGTGAGGGGGGTCCCAGAGGAGCTAGACAGTAAAGCCCCGGTACAGAGCACCTTGCTGGAGCTGTTCAACAGGCTCCTAGCTAGGCCGCCCCAGACGCACATGGGCTTCGTTAGAGCCCACAGGGCCCTGAGACCACAAGAACCCCCGGGTGGGCCTCCCAGAGACATCATCTGCTGTATGGAGAGTTTCCAGCTTAAGGAGGAGATCCTCCGTAAGGCACGTGCCACGGAAAAGGTACTGTTAGACGGATCAGAAATCCAGCTCTACCCAGACCTGTCCCCAGCCACTCTGGCCTATCGGCGGGCCCTGAAGCCCCTCACCAGGCAGCTGCAGACCGCCAACATTAGGTATCGCTGGTGCTTCCCCACAGGCCTTCAAATAGCAACACCCTCAGGCCCTTTCGTGGTCGCGGGAGCAGAAGATCTGTCGCCGGAGAAGCTTCTCTGGCCGAACCCGCTAAGATTCTACACAGAAGGCTCTAGGCCTCCAGGCACAGGCCCCAAACCCCACAGGCTGCGGGCCCCCCGCACACAGACGATACGACCGGCGGGGACACCGAATTAAATAAGCCGCCTACCCTGCCGCCCCCTGGGACTCTGAACCTGTATACCATGCCGTAAATGGGACGATTTGTTTTTCTTTACCCTCTATCTTCGACCATGATGCCTCGACCACTCGGAACCTTACTACACCAACCCCGAGACATGCAGCTGGGCTCTCACCTCCAGGCCCTGTGTTCGTGGGGAAACGGGGGGGGGCCATGGACCTCCACTCCCGGGCCTGGTGATGACTCTCCTTTCTCCTCACCCATACCGCAAGTATAATCCCGGGGAGTGGGGGGGGCGTGGGACTACCGGGCTTCCCCACTACCCGCGAACTGTGGGCCGAGCGCGGGGGGGGGGAGGGGACCGGGTGACCCCATGCCGGATAAGGTGGCACTCCCTGCATGAGCTGGGCACAGAGGGAAGGGGATGGACACTCAAGTCCTGGACTTGTTCCTTTTGTATATGTGACCTGGGAGCTGATGGGCCCGAGATACACACCCAGCTAACCCTCGTAGACGTACCAAGATATTTAGCCTTCAGGCAGGCTATGCTGAGATACGCTGGGATGACATAAGGCTACTGCCACCTTGCTACTTACAGGGGTCAGGGGAGTCCATTGCGCTAGATCAAGGGGAGGGGACGTATGGCCCATTTAGCTACACCATAGGCCCACCCCCCCGGCGGATACAGGGTACCTGCCGAGTTGCCGGTTCTCATAGTTTGGCGCAGCCCTTCTAGCCTTCCTAGCTTCCCCCAAACCTTGACACAGAGGGCTATGAGAGGGCCCTAAGATAGACTATCGTAGGGTCACCCAGACACGCATCCGCATGAATAGGGCGATTGCCGCCCAACCGGGAGGGGATAGGTCCAGACTGGGGTAATGCATGCCACGGAACCCGACGGGGTCATGGTGGGGCTCCCATTGCACAGAGTTAGTTAGGTATTTTCCCGACCCTAGGTTATTAGGGAAGATCCAGACACCAGGGGGCAGCAGGCAGGCAACACAAAATAGGCCAAGGAACACCACATCACACCTGTGGGCCGGACGACCCACTGGCCGCGGTTATGACACAGACCATGCAAACATTAGCTTACAGAGGTTCACCATAAGCTACAGTCCCTACTCGGAGAGCAATGAGATGGGGAGACGGGATGTCCCAACTGGGCGGAACTCCGGGGCTCGAAGCGGATCGTGACGATCTTTCTGGGAGCATCCTGGGCCCGCGGGGCTCTGCCTACTTGGGGTTTCTTGGACTCCTTTGCTACCCTATTGGCTGGAGCGTTCAGACTTAGGTGCGCGGTGCACCCCCCTACCTGCGGGAGTGGGGGGACTCACTGCTCCCCCAACGCTCGAATCCATAATCCGCCGCATACGGCGACACTAATCTGTACCCGGTCCCTAGACCTAGAGGGTGCGATCATCCCCTTCCTTCCCTCAGACCTACCCAGTTTTCCCCCAAGTTTCCCCATCCCACACTTTCTATACCTGACTACCGGACAGACGTAACTACATCACCTCTAAGTGATAGACTCATATCCAGCATGTCCCTGCTACCGGCCCCCCTCACAATACTCACGCTGAACGCTAGGGGACTCAACACGCCAGAAAAAAGGGCCGGGGCCCATAAAGATTTCAGGGCGGCCCACGCCTCCATAGTGTTTCTACAAGAGACCCACTTCCGAGCAGGCTCACGACCCACATTGACTAATCAACACTATCCGAAAGGATACTACAGTGACTTTCAGGGGGGTAAGTCAAGGGGCACGGCGATACTCCTACATAGACACCTCCCTTTCACGGAAACAGGGGTCATAACGGACCCAGAGGGCCGTTTCCTATTCCTCAAAGGGACGATTGCGAACACAACGTATACCTTTGCCAATCTCTACGCCCCAAACCGCGGGCAATATAAATTCCTGGCCAAGACGCTCCGCACACTTGTAGGCTTCCAGGAAGGCATCTTGATAGTAGGCGGAGACCTAAATGTAGCATTAGACCCCAAATGGGACTCCTCCTCAGGACACTCACACATTCCCTCGCAATACCTTACGGCCATCAAAGCTCTCCTGACCAGAACGAAACTAGTGGACTGTTGGAGAGCTTTTCACCCCGACGAAAAGGATTTCACCTTTTACTCCCACCCCCATAACTCCTACACCCGCATAGATTATCTCCTAGTCCCCAGCCACCACATACCGTTGGTCTTACAGGCCGATCAGGGCACCGTGACATGGTCGGACCATGCCCCGGTGACCATCAAATTACACTCCCCCTTCCATAGACCCAAGATCTCCAAGTGGAGGTTAAATGAATCACTGCTTACCAACCCAACGGTCACCTCTGACATTGGGAAAACACTACAGGATTACTTTACAAACAACACCTGCGAACAAACCCCCCCCCCACCATACGCTGGGAGGCACACAAGTGTGTCAAAAGGGGGCATTTTATCCAAAAAAGCACACTCCTGAAGAAACAGAGAGAGGCCCGCATGGCCGCTTTGCTTTCGGACATAGAACAAGCAGACACACTTAACAAGCAACACCAACTCCCCACACACCAGGCCAAACTCCTCCGACTACGGAGGGAATTGATCACTCTCCTCCACTCCACACATCAGAGGGACGCATTGCGAAATAGGGCTTTCTTTGCAATACATGGAAACAAAAGCGGAAAGCTTCTAGCGCGCATGCTGGCCAAAAGAAGACAAGACACGTATATAGACAGGATTCGTGACAAGGCAGGGGTCCTACACAGACATCCGGCCAAGATTCAGGAAATCATTCGCACAAATTACGCGGAACTCTACTCCCTTCCACGCCCACACACAGACGCGCAGTCACGATCACTACAGACCTCAATAGACGACTACCTAAAGACCCATAGGCTCCCATCCCTGGCGGCCAACACGGCAGATCAACTAGACGAACCAATATCCATAGGGGAACTAGCACTCGCAATCAAATCCACGAAACCGGGTAGGAGCCCAGGCCCCGATGGCCTGCCCCTCAAATATTATAAAAGCTATGCCGAGACCCTGTATCCCCCACTACTGGCCATGTTCAACGCCATCAGAGAGGGACATGAATTACCTGCACAGGCACTCATGACACACATCACCATAATTCCGAAAGAGGGCAAGGACCGGGAGCACTGCGGGAGCTTCCGGCCCATCTCCCTCATAAACAATGACATCAAACTATTGGCAAAGGTCCTGGCGACCCGGCTCCAGGTGCACATGCCCTCTCTGGTCCATGCGGACCAGGTGGGGTTTGTAATGGGTCGGGAAGCCAGAGACGACACCATCAGGGCCCTCACGATTATGCACAGAAAATCAGGGGAAGACACAGGCCTTCTCCTGCTGTCCACGGACGCGGAGAAGGCCTTTGACAGAGTCTGCTGGGCGTATATGTTCCAGACACTGTCACACATGGGTATGGGACCATACCTGCGAGGATGGATTCAGGCCCTATACACTCACCCGACGGCGCATGTCCTGGTCAACGGGGCACCCACAGAGGCGTTCCCGATATACAATGGTACGCGACAGGGGTGTCCCCTGCCCCCACTGCTATTCGTTCTGGCTTTAGAACCCCTACTAACCACAATCCGACACCACCCGGACATCACGGGGGTACACATAGGAGACACACAACATAAACTAGCCGCTTATGTGGATGACCTACTATTCTTCATAACCCACCCGGAAGTCTCCCTCCCCAATTTAGTGCAGGAGTTCCAGGCCTTTGGAGGGTTCTCGGGGTACAAGATTAACTTCTCAAAGTCCTATATCTTAAACGTAAGCATACCCGCAAGGAGATCAGCACAGCTCCGACGGAGTTTTGTGTTCCAATGGGCCACGGACAAAATCCGATACCTCGGCACTTGGCTGACCGTTAAGGAATCGGAGCTATTCACAGCGAATTTCGCCCCGATACTAGCTAAGTTCCGTACAGACATGAGGGAATGGGCCCTCCCGCACATCTCCTGGCTGGGTAGAATTCAAGTAATAAAAATGAATTTTCTACCGAGACTACTTTATCTCTTCCAGGCCCTGCCCATCACAATCCCATCCTCGTTCTTCGCCACACTTCGACAGGCCTCAGGGGCTTTTGTTTGGGATGGGAGGAGACCCAGACTGAAATACACACTGCTAACTCAACCCAAGCATAGAGGGGGTCTGGCTCTACCGGACTTCCGACTATACTACAAGGCATGCCACCTGCAACGTGTTGCGGAGTGGTCCAAGACGGGGGTCAGCAAACTATGGAAACAGGTAGAGGAGGGGGTAGCTCAGCTCCCAGCCGCCCTTATCCCGTGGCTCCCCGCAGGGACGGATGGAAGGGAAACACACTATTCCACATATACGAAAGCGACTGAGGATATGGCGAGGCAATGCTGGTAGACACGCGCTCTCCACACACCCGTCCCCATTACTTCCCCTCACACATAATCCTGACTTCCCGCCGGGCGCGGACCCTAGGGCACTGCGGGCCCTGGTGCAAAGCCCACTGCCAAGGCTGAAACATGTGTGCTCCGGTCAGGGGCTGAGGACCTTGGCTGACCTATGTGGGGGTCATACCCAACCATTCGCAACCCACTTCCGCTACGCACAGCTTGCGAGCTATGTAAAGACACTGCCCCGCACAGGAGCCCTCACTAGGGAACTCACCGCTTACGAGCAACTAGGCGCAGACCCCGACCCACTGCCACATGGCATCTCGCACCTTTACGCCCTTCTACAAATGCTCACACCCATGGCTGCGCCACGCTTTATGGGGAAATGGGAGGAGGCCCTTCATCACACATTTAGTAGGGCCGATTGGGAAAAGATTTGTGAGGTCACCCACCACTGCTCCATTTTCAGCAAGAGTCAGGAGACAGCATATAAGATACTCACACAATGGTATTGTACCCCAGACACGACTCAATACACGCATGCTCATGGGTCAAGCCTATGCTGGCGGTGCGCCAAGGCAACGGGCACGCCCCTACACATTTGGTGGGCATGCGAACTTGTACAACCATTCTGGAGGAAAATCCATAAAATAGCCTCCCGCTTCTCTGACAACCCACCACCACTAGATCCAGCAGCAATGCTGCTCCACCACACGACGATACCGATTTCTAAATACAAAAAGTCCCTTACAATTCGAATTCTAAACATGGCTAAGCAAACTATACCACAATACTGGAAGAAAAAAAGAGACCCCTTCCATACTTAAATGGTTCACCCACATGGAAGAACTACGAGCGGTAGAAGAGCTCGCCATGTTAGCTACTGAAAAACAACATCAGACATACCTAGACATTTGGACCCACTGGATATTGACCACGACGAAACAAGACTTCCTGACGCTGCTCCATACCTAATGGCAGGGAGCTACACAGGCTGGATAGGCACATGGACGACAGACAGACCCTCCTCCTCCTTCCTTACCCTTACCTTACCCCTCCCCTCCTCTCTCATATATTAAAACTAGGGACACCACCCAACTGTCGCACAGGTTAAACAGACATTGGAAACACACTCCCCAGTACTCATATCCCCCTCCGAAACAGGACTCCTGCCCACTATATCACTACAGCCCGTCGATAGCTAAGGTCCTCACTAGACACGACCTTATAAGAACACGTAACGACCGGACCGTGCTTGTCCCTTTCGCATGCACAGATAATACAACCATGCACACCCGAATACTAGGGGGGCAATAGCAGGGAGAGCATCAGCCAGTATAGAGGTAGACAATTGGAGGGGCCATGCCCGGCCTGAAGGGCTAGCAGACTGGTTGAAGGTGGATACACAGCAGCAAACAGCACGGGAACACGTGATTACTGAGAACAATCTGGGAGGGGGGAGTGGGGGGTTCACCCACATAAGCTTTAATGTTGATACAAGGGACCTGCGAGTCCGACTTTGCTGTTGGGCCTGCGTGCCCGCCTGTTGATTGTTTTCTTTACGTTGACTACAAAATACAGACCTGCGAGTCTGCATGATACTCACCTTTTATTCCCAAATACAGGAAATAAAAATCATATTTACAAAAAAAAAAAAATATTTGAAAGTTCACCTTTTATCAGATCTTTCATTAATTTGTAAAATTTATTTGTAAAACCTGGAGCGGTCTTTATTTTAAGCTTCTCTATTGCTTTACTAACCTCTACTTCTGTTATGGGTTGATTAAGCAGTTTCAGTTGGTCGGGCAGAGTTTTTGGCAAATGTATTTTATTGAACAATTTCTAAATTTCTTCTGGTAAATTATATAAATCTCAGCAGAATTTTTCAAATGCACTTCTTATTTTTTCTGGGGCCATTACATATGTTTCTTTTTCCTTAATTGTATGCCTCTCTATTTTTTTCAATTTATTGGTCATGAATGCTTCTGGTTTATTACCTTTTAAATACCACTTGACTTGGAATTGTTCTAGCATTTTGGCTGCTCTATTTGTTAGCGGATTATTTATCTGTTTTTCTATTTCTGCAATCTTAATTGCTGTTTGTGTAGAAGGTGTTAATTTATTCTGGGGTTTTTTTTTTTGGAAGTGGTACTTTTTCCTCCTCGATAGCTGCCATTTTTATCATATGCCCTCTAAGTACACTTTTATACACCGTAATGTCTGGTGTATCTTTATTCTTGTTTTAAAAAATAAAAAAATAAAAAAATAATCTTAGTTATTTACTTAATCTCTTCAACGTTATTTTTTTTTTGTAGTATATTGTCTCCCAAATGCCACTCTTTATGGAAGATGTCAAAATGTATCTTTATATTCTAACCAGATTGGACTATGGTCCGACCATGTTATTTCTTGTATCTCTATTCTTTTAAACAAGATACAGAATGCTCACATTTCCCAATATGAGGTCTATTCTAGAATAAGTGTTATAAGTTTTAGAGAAACATGTATAATCCAGATCAGAAGGGTGGAATATTCTCCATATATCTCTTAAATTGTAGCTGTTCAGTACATTTTGAAATCTATCCTAATTTGGTATCCTAATTTTATCACTCTGAGTCTATCATTAATGTCAGTCCTTGCTGAATTTGCCTTACTTTCTTAAACACTTTTGCAATAAAATGTATTGTAAATTTGTTTGGTGCATAAATATTAGTGTAAATAACATTTATTTCACATACTAAAATAATATATCGGCCTTCTGGATCTAATTCTTGATATATAGTATTTAGGGAGACATATCTGGCAAACATGAAAGCCACACTTTTTTTTCAGAGCAGCACTTATAATAATGGGGTATTTTGCGGAGCTAATTGTATTATTGTTAGATTTTTTCCAGTGAGTTTCTTGTAGCGTACTAATTTGTATCAGATTTTTTAATATGGACCTTTTGATAGGCGTGTTTATCCCACAGGCATTTATTGAAACTACCTTAAATTGTAGGTGTTCAAACCTTCTTTGGGCTGGCTCTCTCTCCCCCCCACCCCCCCACCCCAACTAACATTTTAGGTCTGTTAAACAACAGAAAATGACATTTCTTTATAATTACATTAAAAATGACAAAAATCCCCCACCATACAATATCTTGAGTAAATAAACACATTACTCGAATGTTGATCCCACGAATAGGGTGGGAAGTGCGTTCTGAGGATAGACTTTCTAAAGGAAGCCTTTTTAAAATGGTACAGAGGCAAAAAAAAAATAAAAAAAAATAAAATAAAAAAAAATAAAATTGTAGACTCTCTTTTTCCTTTATTAACTCATTGCCTGTGTAGATTTTATATTCATCCTTCATACTGTTGTGATAGCTTTCTTTCATTAGTTTGGTTAATTTCTAGTAGAAGAGAGTTCCCTTCTATCCACCTTATAATTTAGTCTTCTTGTGTTTATTCAACATTTTGTGTAGTATCAGTTTAGCTAGATATCCACCTTTATGTAGGGTGTTTATGCTTCCTTTCGTGTCTTATGTATTAACTTAAGTGAGTGTTTTGTAATTGATCAAACCATAAATATATATTTTTTTATTTTTTTCCTGATCTTTATCTTATTGTCTAAATTTAGAATTTCCTAGTTTCTGATTTCCTTTCTCCTATTAGTTTTGTTAATTTTATTTGCCCATTATCCCCTAATACCGTGTTCATTTTTTTTTTTAAATACATCTACATACAAGTATATATACATAAAAATATAAATAACCTAATTCCTTTTGTTTCCGCAGCTTTTTCTGATTTGGTTTCTCTATTTGAGGAGTCTAATATCGCTGATGCCAATTTCCCCCTTTCACTTTCATTCTTTTCCCTTCCATCTTTCCCATTCTTCCTTTCCTTCTTTTAAATTTGCTAAGGCCTTTTTGTTGATGGATTTTTGGTGCCACTTCCAATTTTCTTTGGGGTTATCCAGTTTTTTAGGTCTTCTGCTTTGCTAAACCGGAACAGACTACATTGTGAAGTATAATGATTTTCGTGGGGAAACCCCATCGATATTTCATATCGTTGTTTCTCAATATAGTGATGCTGTCCATAAAGGTTTTCCTCTTTTGTCTGGTTTGTCATGATAGATCCTGAAATATTTTCAGAGTTGAATACTCTCTTGCGCATCTACCCTCTCTTGTAGCTCTTAATATTTGTATCTTGAGTTAAAAATAGGCGCGGCATATCATTACATCTCTTGGCAGATGATCTGGGACCCCTTTTGGTTTATTCACTCAATGACACCTATCCATCATAGGAGTTTTGGAGTCCCAATCAACCTCCAGAGGTATGATAAAACCTTCTACTTCTATGATTAGAAGTTTGTGTTTATTTGTTCCCATATTCCTCTGATTCTTAGTTTTTTTTCTTCTTCACCTGTTTTCCAAGTCTATCAATTTGTTCTCCATAACAATCATTTTGCTTTCTAGTGCCATATTTTCTTCTCGGAGGACCTTTTCCCTTTATTCCATCAGGTGTAGTTTTTCCTCAATACCTTGGATTTGTGAAGCAAGAGTCAATAATTATTTCTTAATCTCCAAAGTATTTGCTTGAATCTCTTCTTTCATTTTCCCAAATTGTATATCTAGATGTTTAAGTAACCTGTCAGTCATTTCCTTCTAGTCTTGGTTCAACATTTTCCTCGCTTTGTTGTTTACAGATGTCTCCCTCTAGTGCAGGGGTTCTCAACCCAGTCCTCAAGGACCCCTTACCAGTCCACGATTTAGGGGTTACCTGGGTGTGTCTAAGGTGTTTAGATAAAAATAAAATAAAAAAATTACACCTTAGACACACCCAGGTAATCCCTAAATCGTGGACTGGCCCTTGAGGACTGGGTTGAGAACCCCTGCTCTAGTGGGTTATCCAACAAAAGGGATTCCGACAGGTTTGGTTTGTTACCTAGGGGGTGTGGTGAGAAAAAGGAGAGATGTTTTTCTGGTTTATTTTCTTTTTTCATCTGTTTGCCATTTTGTATCTTTTTAGTGGCCATTTTTATTTTGTTTCAGAGAATCTTTTATAAAATGCTACAGTTTGTTTGATGTAGGGCTACCTTTAAAATTCTTCCTCTTTTGAAAACCCTCTCTTCCTCCATCCTATCCCCTCTTACCCTGCCTTGCAAAACACAATTAAGTGAATTAGACCCCTCCCCACCCTTTATCTTTTATTCTCCCCCCCCCCTTTATTTTCGCTCCTATTTCCTTTCCTGACTATTACGGTTTTCTTTACTTAGCAGAATCCATTGAATGCACCACCAACGCTTGTTATAATTTTAACCAAGCAATTGGATTTTTAGGCACTTAGCTTTTGAGGGACTGATCCAGGTCCAAGACCAGGTGTATTGTCACAGCATTCCCACCGCAATCAGCTCGATAATTTTCCTCCACTCACTGTGTTGCTCCTCACTCCAATTGCCAGTGCTCAGACTGCTATAGCTGGGCTGCCTGCGAGGCACTGTTCAAGCATGCACATTTACATAGCTCTCTCCGCTGCTCGAACCGACCTGTATAGCACCTCAAACTTTCCTCACTCTCTCTCGGTTCCCTCAGCTGCTTTCCACAAGGACGCAGCTACGTGCACTACGTCATTGCTCCACCCCCTCCCCAGCAGTTTTAACCAGCATCTCTAATATAAACAACCTTCAGTTACCAATCATACCAATTTCCTATGGAAGCAGACTAACAACTCAAGTAAGAAAGGACAATATTTTTACCGTATTTGATGGAAGACTATCAAGTAGATCTTTCTTTCCCATACCAAGAAGAGATACAGAGTTTGGCGGAGAGAACGTGCTGGCTGATATCATACGCAAGCACTCTGATACCAGCATGGACTGGTTGAGCCACTCAAGGAACTGGAACAAAATCATGAAAATATATGTAGAGTGTGTAGAGGGCACTGGAAGAGAACTATGAGAAAATTAAAAGTACGAAAACAAGCTTGCACAGCAGTAGCTTACTTTAATTTCATCTTCACTTAGAGAGCCATCATCTTTCCTGACCCGGTAGTCAACCAGCATTTCATGTAAAAGACGGTGGATTATTTCTGACCTGAACCACACTTTCCTCTGCATTCGCAATTCCCTTTGTGCCTAAAGGAGAGTAAAGTACTACAGATAAAGTAGGACAAAAGAATTGTTTCCTAAAAGACTCAGAGGGACATCTTACAACCTGGGGGGCATCAAAATCTCACAACCTAGTTAATAGAAACTAGTAGTAATTCCATTCGATAATTATGTATTATGTTATGTTGTGCAAATCATTGATTTCAATGTAAAATCCTCCAACTCAGCCATTGTGGTCTAAAATACACATTTTCTTATCCAATTTAAGATTAAACAGTCTAACTAAAACAACCCGTCTCCAGTTAAAAACAAACAAAAACACATGCATCAAATTTTATATAATTCTTTCTTGAGAATGTTTTGTATAAATATATATATATGTATGTACTCAATTACCTCTTCAAGCTCCTTGCTGAGACTGGCACTTGCCCCACCTGGTTCCAGCATCTGAGACACTTCCAGTAGAAGTTTGCTAAATTGTGTATTTTTCTGAAGTTCCTCCTCATCTAATGTGATCATTGAAAGTGTGTTGCTTACTACAAAAAAAAAAAAATAAATAATAAAAAAAAAAAAAAACACACACAAAAAACAACTACAGTAGTGGTTAAGTTGCCAGCGTCCTGGCACAGCACCATCCCAGAGTAAGCCGTCAAACAGAACACCTATTTCTGTTGGTTACCCGTGACTCTTATGTTATGCACATCTACAACTGTGTATAGAAAGCATCTGACATCAACATTTGATGTCAGGCAATAGGTCCGGCTCAGCCTCCTCTGGTGCATGCCGCAGGCTTAATATAGAGGGCATGGACATGAATCACGTCATGCCCCTGCTCCCTGTGTAGCGCACCGCGTGGCTGAAGTCTATAAGGCGGTATAAGTGGAAGACCTACACCTATAAGTGGAGCGCTGAAAGGATTAGGGAGTACACTTACCCCATGTAACTTGATAGCAAGCTTGGGAAAAAAAAGCAATATAGTGCAGATGGTACACGAAGATAAAATGGTGGTGAAGTGGAACACTCACATTTAAAAGGAGCCTGTATGTGAAAACTGGCTCTGTAATCAGGCTTGTATGCTTTTAAGGCAGCATCACACCTACAATCCACAATATGATGTATTTCAAAGAGAAAAAATGGAAAGAAGGTAACCAATGTGCAGTCTGTTTCAAATGATGTGCAAGGTGAAAATAAGTAAAATGCTCACCTTTTTCAGAGCACTGTATCCTGGCTCTGAGGAAAAATAGCTATGTGCCAGTATACGTGGGGATGGCACTTCCTCTAGGTTGATTCGGTAGGCTCTAGAGGACTACGTAAAATATTAAAATGTATTAATACAATGTAAACAAGTAACCTATAGTATAAAAATATAAAATAAGAGTCCTGAATAAGTCGAAACACGTTTCACTCTTAAAGAACTTCCTCAGCCAGCTGTAGATCTGGTCCTGTGAATCTTTCCTTTCCTATTTAAAGAACACGCTAACAAAAAAAAAAAAACAGATTTATTTGAAAAAGGATATAAGGAAGAAATACTGGAAAACCCTCTCACTCAGGTCTCACATATACAAAGACATACCTTACTTAAAAAAAAAAAACCACAAAATTGAAAAAGAAAAAAAGGGAACGATGTACCCATTATATGCAACTATTATCACAACTATATAGCATTAAAAAAATTTTTTTTAAAACACTGGCCTATTTTAAAGCAAGATCCCTTATTGTCTCAACTCCTTCCCGACAAACCAAAGTAATATTCAGAGACGCCCCCAATTTAAAAAAGACTTTTAGCAAAAAATCAAAAAAAAAAAGAATGAACCCCCGGGGAGCGTGGCAGACAGCAATACCGAGCCTACGTCTTTTATCAGAAAGAAAACTCACGACCCAGGTTTTCCCTGCTAATCAGATATACGGAACTCCTTTGAGTGGCTACCGATCCCACAGAGCACAAAGATGGCACCTGAGGCCCACTACGCACACGCGGCATCTGAATCCTCACAAGATGAGGGAGAATCCTTACCTTCCCCTCAATCTGAAACCCCATCCTGCCCATCTGAGTCAGAAGAGGACAAGACGCCCTGCACAAAGGGGGACATAAAGAGACTCCTGGCAGAAGTGAGGAAAATCTGGGGAGCTGACCTTTAAGATAGTACAGACAGAGGTGAAGGAGGTGCATCAAAGGGTCCACGACCTAAATGAACGAGAGACAGCCAGAGAGCACAAACTCCAGGCCACAGACACTAACCTGGAAGGGCTTACCGCTAAGGTGCACCAACTGAGACGCATAGTGACCACAATTGAGACACGACACCGGGGGATGGGGGAAAACCTCTGTGGCACATAGGAGCACAAACAACAACAAAAAGAAACATTACTAAATTTAAAAATTCCACCAATGATGAAGAATTTTGCATACAATAATTAATAATTTGTCCCTCTGTACATGTGATATATCTACTGGAGTGCCCTTGTGGCTTAAAATATGTGGTACGTACTGTCACAGTTTACCAGGAGTTGGAGCCCAGGTGCAGGAGATGGCACGAGGAGGCAAAAAACAAAGCGCAGTACGGATGAAGGGGTAATCCAAAGGCAGGGTCAGACGAGAAGCAGAAGTCAGGGCTGGCAGCGGAGTATCGTAGTCGGTAAGGCAAGCAGAGGTCAGATTGCAGGAAGTCAGTCAGCAGAGTAACAAAGATCCAGCCAGAAAAAGTGGATCAGCACTGCTCCATCCAGGCAAAGGAGTCAGGTAGCAGAATAAAGCAGACAGGCTCCTTTAAATGTGAGTGTTCCACTTCACCACCATTTTATCTTCGTGTACTGTCTGCACTATATTGCCTTTTTTATTTCTTTTCACATGTACTATATACCAAACTTGCCATCAGGTTACGTGGGGTAAGTTTACCCCCTTATCCTTTCGTAGGGGTCGACCGATATTGATTTTTAGAGCAGATACCGATAATCTGTCAACTTTCAGGCCGATAGCCGATAACTTGACGATATTCTGTACATTTGGAAAAAATAAACGATTTCTAAAGATAAATGCAGTGTGTGTTTGTGTAGTGGAGGCAGTGTGTATTTGTGTAGTGTGTATATAATGAATGCAGGGTGTGTTTGTGTAGTGTGTATATATAGTGAATGCACAGTGTATGTAGTGTGTTTATAGTGAATGTAGTGTATATAAAGTGAATGCAGTGTGTAGTGTGCGTAAAGTGAATGCAGTGTGTGTGTAGTGTGCGTAAAGTGAATGCAGTGTGTGTGTGTGTTTGTATAGAGTATGTATATAATGAATGCAGAGTGTGTATATAATGAATGCAGAGTATGTGTGTTTGTGTAGTGTGTGTTTGTGTGTATATAATGCAGAGTGTTTGTATAGTGTGTGTGTATATAATGCAGTGTGTGCATTATATACACACACACACACACACACACACACTACACAAACACACACTCTGCATTATATAGAGTGTGTTTCTGAAGAGATGTAATTTGTGTAAAATGGGGGGGGGGGCATTTTTTATTTTAATTTTTAATATTTATAGGTTTTATATATTTTATTTTTGTCTCCCCTCCTTGCTTGTTACCTGGCCAGGGAGGGGGGAATATGACAATCCCTGGTGGTCCAGTGGCATGTACTGTGTACTGAGCAGTGGGGGGGGGGAGGGGGGCGGCAGCAAGCTGTGACTTACCATCCCAGCAGCTCCTCCAGCTCCCCAGTGTAAATCTCGCGGTCTGCGTGCCACGTTGCCATGGTAACCTGTGACAACGCTCTTCGGCCGCGGGACTAGCGACAGCTTGCTGCCGGCCCCCCCAGGATTGCCGGGCTTGTAATGAGCCCGGCGGTCCTATTACGTATTATCGGCAATATCGGTTTCTTTATTGGACGATACCGATATTGCCAAAAATACCAAATATCGGCAAAACTGATAATCGGTCCATCCCTACCTTTCAGCGCTCCACCTATAGGTGTAGGTCTTCCACTTATACCGCCTTGTAGACTTTGGACTTTTTTGGGGTGTGGACAAGAGGGTATTTCCACACAAAGGTGTTTTGAGCTGCTGTAATTAAATTTATCCTTGATCCTAGCACCCTATTGGACACAAATTCCTCCCAAAAGGAGGTACACTTTACTTAGTGATGAGGCTGGGCTGCTGAACTGGTTCCACAGATCAAAGCCAGACAACATATTTTCCAGGGATCTAATTGCACAGTGCTGAGATGTAATTATGTAATTGCATGTATGACTGCCTGTACCTGTATATCTCTGTATGACTGTGTATTTATGTTCTTGTATGCCTGTAATTCTAGTTTGTAGGACGGTATTAGTTTGATTGTGTGCCTTTTATGACTGCATGTCTGTATATCTTTGTGACTGTGTACATGAATAATTAGGTCTGTGTGCTTGTATGTGCGCATGCGCGCGTGTGTGTGTGTGTGTGTGTGTGTGTATATATATATATATATATATATACACACACACACACACACACACACACACACACACACACATACATATATACATACACACACACAGAAAGGGGCGGGGAGTAAGAGATACACAAAGGGGGAGGGGGTTGTAAGAGACTCGCTAAAGAGGGGATACAATTCACTAAAGGTGGCAAAACGGGTAAGACATTTAAAAGAAGAAATATGAAACACTAAATAGATTAGGAAATTGCCCCAACAGTATTTAATATTTTGCTTAATGGAATTTGGTTGGCCTTTTGTGTCCCTTTAAAATTAGTTTATTGGTGTTCAATTTTGCCACAGGGCACCAAAGCAATATTTGTAATTTTTACAAAATTGAGGGTTTTAGGGCAGAAAACAGGGAAATATATATATATATATATATATATATATAAATAAATAAATAAATAATGTGATCATGTATGTTGCCATTGAAGCAGTGGTAGGTTTGTACTCACTGTGGTGGCTCCAACTGTACAACATTTCAGACTATTAAAATCATACAAAACCACAATCTCTTTTTCCTGTTATAATGTCAAAATATAATTGCAGGATGCAATTATGCCTTTTTTATTGGACTAACATATTTCAAAGACAAGCTTTCGAGAGTTTTCCTCTCTTCCTCAGGTCTGAATGAGTTATGGCAAAGAAGATTTAAAAAAAAAATAAAAAAAATTGAATTATGATTTTATTTTATAATTTGGACCACTTTTCTCATGACTGGGATTTTTTACTTAAATATATTAGTTATATGCGGATTTTATTTTTTTAAACTCAGTATACCTGATACAAAGAATTATGGAGATGGTGTCAGTGTCCTCTCAGTATGTTACCAATAACGAATTGGTGACTGAGTGCAGTTTTTTCTGATAAGCAGCTGTTCATGGGTAAAATAATTATTGCTATTATTTATAATCTCACCATACTGCACGGTCCGAGACATTGTCACAGTCAGGATCCCCCCTCTGTAAAACAAATATGATAAAACATGCTGAAAGTGTGTACATGTCAAAATTAACAATTAATTATCCACATGTTATTAAATCATCACATTAGCCACATACACTCTCTTACAGTCCCGGTGTGATCCCAGTATCAACGGCGCGGGAAGAGTTCAAATATCTGCAGAGAACGTGACATCACGCAAAGAGGCTCATAAATCTATCAAAAACTTCCATTGCATCGAGTTCTAAATACTAAAGTGAAACGCGACTGTGCTGGTCTGTTGTGCGTCCTATGCTCCCGATATTGAGAACACTGTCAAAGCGGCCATTTGTTTGGAGACAGATTATACAGATGTTTCACCCAGTGTTCTATCTGTTGTGTAGAACTCACAATCCGCTCCAACACGCGGAAGTGAGGTACACTGCACACTGAAAGAGAAACACTGTGAGAGTGTTTGGAATGTTATTTACGTTTAGTGCACTGGTTTGTTTGTTGTTTTTTTAAAAGAAAAACTACTTTTCGTAGAAACATAATTTTCATGTCTATGCCAAGGCAATAAAAATAAGACTGAGCTGCAAAAATAAATAATAATAAATATATATATATATATATATATATACACACACACACACCCTCCCCCCCCTCCAAGGTTTAAAGTGAACCTGTAGCTAAATAAAGTTAGTTATGTTTTAGACCAAACCAAGTGTTTGATTGAATATCTGCCCCTGTCCAAATATTTAAAGAGAAATGATGCGTGCACGCTGAGGAAATCACACTGACAACAAAGTTCAGTTAAAATGAAAACTTCAAAGTGTATTGTCAGGGGGCGGCGTAGCCCATTAAAAAGGCAAAATAATGCAACGTGCAAATACAGAAAGTACACTTGTCAATTGGTTAAGTGTAAGGTGTTTTAGTAAAGTAAACATTTAATTGGTTAGATGTTAAATGTTTTATCTTGATGGACTTCCTCCAGGGTGTTGATGTCATCGTCATCTTAGGTGTAGCTCCGGACAGAGACGCCATCTTACTACACAAGGGTCTTGGTCGATGGGAGGGGGTGCTTTAACAGCCATTTTGAGTAATGAATGAGCACAGGTACACATAGTAAATAGACATTTTACTCACATTAATTTCTATCCATCACAGTTAAATGTCTATTTACCAGAAGTGGTTTTTATTTTATTGTTTCATATGTTTTATTGGAGCTTCATCTGTTTTTCGTTGATACTTATTGCCTCAAACCCTTGCAGCACCTCTATCAGCCCACCTTCATAGGCATGAAGTATCACCTGAATACTGACTCTCTTTGGGAAAGTTTTTTAATTCAGAATGTCAGTAGTCATGCAAGCAGAACGCATGCACGGTCACATTGCAAGATATTGTTGATACGGTAGGTGGACTACATTGCAGACCGACATCGGCCATTACTAAATGTCGATTGTCTACAAGGGAGGAAGGTGGATGCAATATTAAAGCTAAAATATTGGAAAATCTATACATTTGCTAGCAAAATTACTAGCGCAATGTATAGTTTAAATTGCAGGGTTAAATCCACCTCTAGAGGCGCTTCTGTGACGTGGAAGCCCATTGGAAAGCATTGAATAGAATGCTTTCCTCTGAGAAAGTTTGAATGTGCATGTGGCACTAGAGCACAAATAGTACCCACGAGGTCTGAAAAACCATAGTGTTCCCACGAACACACACTGCCTGTCTGATCAGCTGGCCTCCACGTTCAGAAACTATGCATTATGAGAAAGTACCATGTCCAAAACCAAACCTGTAGCGTATGTCAGACTGACAGCCCCTAGATATGCTCTCTCAATCAAAACCTCTGAAAACCAAAGTTTGAAAACCCATGTTTGGCATCATCATGCACAGCCCAGAGCATCTAGTGCTTTTCTGTGAGAAGCATTTGATTGGTGGTGAGAGGTATTTGCTGTGCATGTTCCCAGTGCTATAAGAAGCACTGGCTTGGCAATTCGTCGTAGCTGATAACTTTATTGAAGAATGAATGGCTGCATCGAGGTGTCGGTCATGACACTGAACAATGTGTCAGTTTTATGGGTTTTAGAGAATTTATACAGAGCAGAAGAGAAAGGAAACATTTTTATTTATCCTCTTCATTTGCAATGTTGGCTTTGTCATGCCTATCTGGATTATAATTTAATTTGTTAAATCTTTCATATAAATTTAAATGAAAAGAGAGCAGCTCATGAAAAAAAAAATCTATATTTTATCCAGTGTTGAAAATTCCAGAAAAGTGACCGTTCCCCTTTAACCCCTTAAGGACCAAACTTCTGGAATAAAATGGAATCATGACATGTCACACATGTCATGTGTCCTTAAGGGGTTAAGGACCAAACTTCTGGAATACAAGGGAATCATGACATGTCACACATTAGCAATTTAGTATCTAAACATCCCTAGGGCTATAAATTCAACTTGCAAAATTATACACAAGAAACTAAAAACCACAACGATCATCTGGGGTGCTTCATTTTTGATGCACGTATAGTATTGCAAGGTATGATGGTAGCTGGTTCATAAGTTGTTATGGGAAGACCCTGATGCGTGCATTTTGCCAGAGAAGGCTCATCATTTTAATTAGGGTAAATTGTTGTTAATGTAAATATTTTTAAACTATACAGTTTAGTTTTAAAAATGTTTATTTATTCAGAGTTCTCTTTTTTTCTAACTAGCAGCCTCAGAAACACAGTTTTTGTCTTTTTTCTAGTAAGTGGAGCAATATTATGCACAAATATTTTTTAAAAACCAACAATATACAAACGGATTACGTTTTTTCTCCCAATGATTTGTTGTGGAATATGTAAAAGAAAAGATACAAGGAAAAAATAATAGTGTAGATTGTTTTTCAAAGACACTTAATCTTTTAACAGATCATATGATAGCAATATACTCAAGATAAATCTGCAGATTTAATCACAGAATCCTTTATAATAAATGTAGTGCCTAAATGTGCACTATTATTCAATGATGAATGTGCTGGGTTAAAAAATTAACAATTTATTATCTGCCACATGCAGAATTAAAAAACAGACAAAACAATGGTTGTAAAACAGTGAGAAGCTCTGCCTCTTGCTAAATCTGGTGGTGAGTTAATCCGGCTTATGCCGTTACTCACTAAGTCAGCTCAAAGTGGATGGGCTGCTGGTATCTACGTCGGCGGAATAGAGTTCCTGTACTGCTGCAGACAGTGAGGTTGCTCTGTAATCAGTTGGTTCGTATTGCCGCCGTGGGTTCCAAACTCCACAAGCTCCTCCCCTCTTGTATGATGTCAACGCATTTCACCGTATGGCGGCTTCCTCAGGACGTGCTGCCGACTCCATGTCGGATACGGGTATATAAGGGCAGGTGCTCTAAACACTATAGGTGGTCCCAAAATGCCCTATTTACATTTTTTTAACACGATCTATTTCTGTGCACCATACTGAATTTAAATGAATTATACAATAGCATATAATACAATATCGTGTAAAAAATATGCAAATAGGGTATTTTGGAACCACCAATAGTGATTAGAGCACCTGCCCTTATATACCCGTATCCGACATGGAGTCGGCAGCACGTCCTGAGGAAGCCGTCATACAGTGAAACGCGTTGACGTCATACAGGAGGGGAGGAGCTTGCAGAGTTTGGAACCCACGGCGGCAATACGAACCAACTGATTACAGAGCAACCTCACTGTCTGCAGCAGTACAGGAACTCTATTCCGCCAACGGAGATACCAGCAGCCCAATCACTTTGAGCTGACTTAGTGGGTAACGGCGTATATTGCTATCATATGATCTGTTAAAAGATTAATAGTGTCTTTGAAAAACAATCTACACTATTTTTTTTTATTTGTATCCTTTCTTTTACATATTCCACGACAAATCATTGGAAGAAACAACGTAATCCATTTGTATATTGTTGTTGTTTTTTAAATATTTGTGTATATTATTGCTCCACTTACTGTCACACAATTGTTTATTATTGGTGGATTGGGGAATGCACCTAAGTGTGTAGCAATTGAATATACACTTTATATGGGAGTACCAATTATCTAGCACCCAAAATCTACTTTAGCACGAATAAAACCCAATGATGGAGTCAGGATCAAGATTCCAAAGTAACTGTTGTAGTAAATACATTTCACAGTGGTTACGTATTGATTTCAAATACTAAGCACCACTTGGAATTCAAGATTCTCACATGCAATATTCATAACTCCTAACCGCAGAAATGGACAAAGAGGGGCACTTTTAAAATTGAGGGGAGTGAGTGGGATTTGAGAAATCCTAGGTGACTTATTAATAATAATTTATGCAACTAAAATGTAATTTATAACATGGGCAATGTATTTTATTTTCAGAGAATTATATATTTAAAGTACTTAAACTTATATTATATACATACTTATAGTAGTTTAAAAATAAATTAATTACCGCATTATTAGTGCTGCATAGCCCTGGTATAAATTCAGACAAACAAATATATGTAGTGCTGGCACTCTGTCACGCAGTGGTGCAGGTATTAGAGGTTCATCCCCAATCAAACCTCATAAAATATCCAAACAACATAAATCTTAATACCGCACTCGTATGCATATATTATGCATATATCAAAAAAAAAAAATTGTGAAAAATCAATATATAGGTATGCAAGAAAAAAATTCATTTATTGTACACCAGTTGTGTGTAGTTCATGTGAATAGAACAAGACCTGTCATATGAATCAATGATCTCTCCTATTATAACAAATTAATGATTTCTAAATAAATTCATATATAATACACATGGGAATACATAGTATATACACAAATCTACAATCACCAGTTGTGTGTAATTCATGTGAATAGAACAAGACCACAATTTTTTCTTGATATATGCATAATATATGCATCTGAGTGCGGTATTAAGATTTATGTTTTTTGTAGAAATTCAGACACACCAAGAGTACCGAGCTCCTAAAAATAGGTACCAAAGGACATTTGGGAGATGTGCATATTGCTAATGCAGATTTTGCACTTCCACATTGGCAACGCCAAATGCATCTATATTTGGATAACATTGTTTCGCTCAGCATGTCTGCCGGCACCCTAAGCCAAAAGGAGTCATCCAAATTTTTATAAAATTGTCACTGGCAAGGGGCCAGTCTGGGAAACAGAAAATAAAAAGCATCATGTGATGCATTAGTCAGATTACAACTCAAAATGTCGAAGGAGCTAAATTGAAACACATTTGTAGCAAAGCTTTAGGTGAACACATGAGGGCAGCAGCATAACAAATTGAGACAATACAGGAATTATGTGGACAGAAGTGTCATAGATCATGCCCAAGTAGAATGCTAAACCATTTTAACGTGATATGGGACTCATCGAACTGAGCAAATATGACTGGAAACAAAGTGAAAAGAACTGGTAGATGACATTTTAAATGTAGTGTTGTGATGATCATTTTTCTATTTTTACTGGAACAGAATGAATCTGTACTTTTCTACTTTTTACTGTCATTCTTCATTTTACAAACCGACCACCTGTCTACACTTCCTTAGGGAAATGTTACTTGTGTGATAGCTATCGTAGGTTCATTTTTTTCCCTTTTATACTAAAATGAAATTGCTGTACTTTTCAATACTCTTCTACAGCCCTGCACATATGAGACAATGGGGTTTCCACACAGACAGTGGTGAAATAAATGAATTATATCAATATACTCCATAGCAGAGTTTGAGAATGGTTCCAGCACCTCTAATTTAGCCTATACTTTTTAGTTTGGTGGCTTATACAAACCACATTGTGTTACAAAACTAGACATAGACTAGAAATTGGTCTGTATATAAATTATATTCAATAAAAAGATTTCCAGGATACTACCACTGTAATTGGAGTACATAAAGTGGTTGGTATGTTAGACAGTCATGTTGGAGTATTCCAATTAATATTATCCATTAGTTTGTTGGATTAGTGTATGCAAAGATTCAACATATATGACATTGTTGGTTCCTAACCAGATTACTTAAAGTGGAACAGTCAGTTCTCTGAAATTTACACCACTGAAAAAAACACATATAGCTTATCAACCTTTTTTCTCATAATACCATGTTTCCTTTTGAATGTATATTAGAGGGACCCTTAGAGACTAATACAACTCCACCGCATATAGTCGTTTGGGCACTAATAAGCTGCATTTTTGTATGCTCAAATCTTGTAGTTTTTGTGCAACAAAAAATGTTTGCAGAATTCTGCACCATAAGCCTTCCTCCTTAGTCACACCCCTCCCACTCCAGAAAGACTTGCTCAATAATTGTAATTATGTTCTCTTCTCCGCCAAAGAATTAATAAATTGCACCAACAATTCAGTGCCCCCTCCTCCCCCCAAAACAGCAAAAATTAGATGAAAAGGTGTGCGAAATTCTTTGATAAATCCCCCCAGTGTTTCATTTCTCCTCTTCTCTATTTGCTTTCTCTATGCTGACAGCCAGATGCCCATGATAGAAATTACAACAATGCTTAACTTGGAGCTAAGTGGACGGTGTGTAGTTGGAGGTTAACGAGGTGTGCATATGTGCATTTAATTACATTTTTCACACCTCACAAATACATATTTGTTAAATATAGGGATAAGTATGCACAATATTAAAAATCATGGGATCTGATTTTCTGTTTGCTTCTAATGTTTATAGTCATACTTAATTTCAAAGCAATTATAAAATATATGTTGAAACACAGTATTTCCTATTAATAAATGAACATAATAAAAATAGCACTTTATTTTGAATAGTAAATATGTGCATTAACCACATAAAAAAAAAAGATGTTCTTCACCTACAGTTCTAACATGTCTCCACTACCTGTATGATACAGTTATTTGGGTTTCTCTTATTCCTCCTTATCATTAATATCCACCCTCCACTAAAATTGTGTTTGGTTTGTCATTTAATATAAGGAAGCGGCTTCTGCTCTTCAGTCATTCATCTTTCTCCACTTTGATCTGTATATAAGCATTGAGATCAGGGCAGAATGATTTCCTTCCCCTTTCTACACCGTCCAGTTCTCCCATCTCATCCTCTTCTTCCCTTTCCCAGTCTGGGTTATAGAGATGAGGAGGAAGTAGCTGTGCCTCTGCAGACGGGAGCCGGTCACAGAGGGCACCATAAATACGGTTGGCTTTGTTGCCATGTTTAGAGTGGGAGTCTATTCTGTAACATAGTCTAGAGAGCTCTTCTGCTCGAAATCGGGGTGGTCGTGCAACCCAGACACCAGGCTCTGAGAGACTGTCCTCTTCATCAGACATCAACTCTTCAGTCACTCCTTCCCAAAGAGCTTGATCTTCCAATGGAAACTGCTGTACTCCCCAGGAACGGTTTGCAAACAGCTGTTTAAAACACAAATGGTATATTGTCAGAGAGAGATACAAAAATTCAGATCTAGTGAGGGAAAAAAGATGCAATATACACTTATTTAAATAAGGTGCAAAATTGCTGTGTAAAAGCTATTAAACTATTGTTACAATATATAATTGACCATTATGTTCCTCTTACCCTGTATCTCCTGCTTCTCAGTTTTTTTTCTTCCTTCTCTTTCAGGCTTTTGAAGGGATTCATGGAATTCCGATATTCTCTCCTCTTAGTCAGAAAGTAAGCAACACATGCACCTACACAGAAACATTACAGTGTTTTGGGGGGTTTTTTTGCATTCCCTTTGACTAAAGAAACTAATTTTCCCAAATCAAATTCCCAGATGCATTTAATAAACTTTATTTTTTAATGTCACTGTATGTTGATGGACAACAAATCTGAGCACTGCTTCTAGTCTGAAACTGAAAAAAGATATTGTACTATTCAAGCTGAAAGTATCTTGTCTCCTAAGGTATCAGATGATCTATGATCAAAATGCATTGATAGCTCCTATGAGTTATTGTGTCTGTAACAGTTAAGAGTTGTGATGCACAGCTCTGAGAATTATGACACAAATCCAGATCTCAAAAGGGAGAACATGTTACAGCCCAGTTTCAGTTTGTGTAGATTTTTAATAACCCACACCATTAAAACAACTCTTACTTCTTTATTTATTTTACTCTACATCAGGGGTACCCAAAAGGTAGATCCCCAGATGTTGTAGAACTACAACTGCCATGATGCTATGCATTCTTTTAGAACGACAAAGTATCATGGAAGTTGTAGTATTAAAACATCTGGGGATCTACCTTTTGGCTCCCCTGCTCTACATTAACACATTCTGAATGAAATTCCTGAGTGCATCCTGACATGATTAAAAATAATGTTTTCTGCATATATTTCCACTTGTTACTGGGCTGTTTTCTTTGTTGAAATGAGATCAACACTACAGTCATTACAACTGGAGCAACTTATATTACATACAATCAGATGTTTAACTTTATTGTATGTAAATAATATACTATGCAGAAATTCCCCAGAATGGGAAACCAGTGATCTGAAGCTAGGCATCATTCAATTCAAAACAAACCAAGGCTTCAGGCTGAAATGGTATGCTTCTAGCAGTCAGTGCGGCCTGTACTTTGCATATTGTGCATGGTACTTTAGATGCCCTGTGGAAAACCTAATATTGGGAACTTTTCTGTATAGGAATGTTGTTTCATTTGCCTTGTGAAGTGTATTTATGACTCATAATTATGTAAAGAAACACACATTATATATACAAACCCATGGACTCTAGGGCACTGAATAAACCTCACCTTTTAATTCTTTATCTGTGTAGTGGTGTATACTGGATACAAGCTCTTGTCTCAGCTTCTCCACCAAGAATTTTAAAACAGAAATATTCCAGGATGACTTGATGCTGTAATGGGATCTGATGATTAAAATCCATACTTTTAGTTTAAGGAATAGAAACCATAACACCACAATAAATGAACAATCCTCACCTCTCTGAGCCATTGAAGCGCTTGTTGTTGGAGATGTGGTTATGAATGTTATGCACCAGTTTCTGAAAAAAAGGCAAGAGGTGTAATTATTAATATATAAAGAAAATGTGCATTGTTTATTAATGAATACAACAAATCACATATTTGCAATCAAGAAAATTAAATAAAAATGTAAAAAAAAAAAAAAAAAAGGGTTTTGTTTTACAATGTATACTATTTACAGCAACTTGGATGACAATTAAAAATACACATTTTAAGTGTTCATCGCAATTTCCCTGACTAAGCCCTTGAAAAAAAGTTTTAGGTATAATAACACATTTCTGTAACCACACAAAGAACAGCTAATCGAAAAGAACACAAACTTACAGACAAAACCAGGTCTCGTTTCCGACGGGAGTTTTTTTGACCATTGTTTCTCTGGCGGCTACTTGATCCAGTGTAGAACTGAGAGAACATTGATGGTGAGGCTGGTTGCCGTATATCAGTTGTACCAGATGTGGCTTCCGCCATCATTAACCCACCAGGACTAAGGGATCCATCTTTTTGAATCAAAAGATGTGAATGTGTGGACTTTAAAACTGGGGGAACAGAATCACACAAAACATCTGTTGAATCTCCATGAGGCCGGGAGGTAGCAAGCTGCTTTACAAAATTGGGAGCTAAAATCCTTGGAGCAGAAGCATCTTGACTCAAGAAGTCGTCAATACCCTGTAAGAGCAAAATAAATGGGATAATCTGAATATGCTGCTTATGATTACCTGTCTAAAGCATTTATTAATGTGACCACTTATTATAAGTGAACAGTTTTCTACAGAAAAAAACAAGTATCAATGATTTTATTAAACATGATTAAGAAGGGATTAATATACAAGTTGCTGGTGAAAAAAAATAAACATTTGCGTTTACGTGCATCTGATGGTTAGGAGTTACCACAACCAACATGACCACTTCCTACCACGGTGGTAGAAGTATGTACAGATGCAAGAAAAAGTATGTGAACCCTTTGGAATGATATGGATTTCTGCACAACTTGGTCATAAAATGTGATCTGATCATCATCTAAGTCACAACAATAGACAATCACAGTCTGCTTAAACTAATAACACATAAATAATGAAATGTTGCCATGTATTTATTGAACACACCATGTAAACATTCACAGTGCAGGTGGAAAAAGTATTTGAACCCCTAGACTAATGACATCTCCAAGAGCTATTTGGAGTGAGATGTCAGCCAACTGGAGTCCAATCAATGAGATGAGATTGGAGTATCTCCAAAAGCCTTGCTGTTCATAAGTCCACAGTAAGACAAATTGTATATAAATGGAGAAAGTTCAGCACTGCTGCTACTCTCCCTAGGAGTGGCCGTCCTGTAAAGATGACTGCAAGAGCACAGTGCAGACTGCTCAATGAGGTGAAGAAGAATCCTTGAGTGTCAGCTAAAGACTTACAAAAGTCACTGGCAAATGCTAACATCCCTGTTAGCGAATCTACAATACGTAAAACACTAAACAAGAATGGATTTCATGGGATGATACCACAGAGGAAGCCACTGCTGTCCAAACAAAACATTGCTGCATATTTACAGTTTGCACAGGAGCACCTGGATGTTCCACAGCAGTACTGGCAAAATATTCTGTGGACAGATGAAACCAAAGTTGAGTTGTTTGGAAGAAACACACAACACTATGTGTGGAGAAAAAAAGGCACAGCACACCAACATCAAAACCTCATCCCAACTGTCAAGTATGGTGGTGGAGGCATCATGGTTTGGGGCTGCTTTGTTGCGTCAGGGCCTGGACGGATTGCTATCATCGAAGGAAAAATTAATTCCCAAGTTTATCAAGACATTTTGCAGGAGAACTTAAGGCCATCTGTCTACCAGCTGAAGCTCAACAGAAGATGGGTGTTGCAACAGGACAATGATCCAAAGCATCAACAACAGAATGGCTTAAACAGAAGAAAATACACCTTCTGAAGTGGCCCAGTCAGAGTCCTGACCTCAACCCGATTGAGATGCTGTGGCATGACCTCAAGAAAGCGATTCACAACTGAAACAGTTCTGTAAAGAGGAATGGTCAAGAATTACTCCTGACCGTTGTGCACGTCTGATCTGCAACTACAGGAAACTTTTGGTTGAAGTTATTGCTGCCAAAGGAGGTTCAACCAGTTATTAAATACAAGGGTTCACATACTTTTTCCACCTGCACTGTGAATGTTTACATGGTGTGTTCAATAAAAACATGGCAACATTTCATTATTTGTGTGTTATTAGTTTAAGCATGACTTAGATGATGATCAGATCACATTTTATGACCAATTTGTGCAGAAATCCATATCATTCCAAAGGGTTCACATACTTTTTCTTGCAACTGTATGTGCAGTGTTTCTGCTTGAAGCACTGCACATGCAGAGTTATTTTTAATTGTGTGCTGTGGGCATCTGTCCTCCTAGTACACATAACATTGGCAACCCAGAACTATGTTCCTGGCTGTCAGTACTGTGCATAAAATACGTCTGTTGTCAGCGACCACAACACGCTGAGAACTGATGTGAAAATCCCCTCCCTCTTTCTAGACAATCCCTCCGAGATCACTCCATTGACAGCTGTTTTTTTTTAAAATCAAAACCCTAGAATTTATCAATTGATTTTACAATCCAATTTAGTCCATGCACACATGGCATTGGAAGCAGGGGAAAATAGAAAATGGAGAAGATTCACTTTTACAGTTATTTTTTTAGCGCAATTTATTAACTCTGTCAGAATTTTTTATTCCTTGCGCCCTAAACGTGATTTTTGAATACTTGTCATTTTTGTAGTGATGCAGATATATCATTATTTTTGCCAGAAAAGTGTTCTTTTGCTAGTCTCTCTTTTTTTGTCGCCACTCTGAATTTAAGCTAATTACAGTAATTGACAGGGAGCCAAGATGGATGGCATCCTGTGTCAGGATAGAGATAAATACAGTATTTCTGCATTTAATTTCATTATAAGACAAGATCACAAGCACATATTTGTTAATTATAGGGTCAGTAAACATTATATTAAAAATCCTGGACATTCCCTTCTACAGCGGTGAAATTCTATAGCTATTTAGCATTCCATTGTGTTGGCAAGAATGCTGAAGCCCCAAATTAGGGCATTAATTGTTGCCAAGTGGTTTAATTCCTGAAGGCAAGAAGGTGCCTGGACACTCCTTTTGCCAATGACAACTTAAAGGGACACTATAGTCACCAGAACAACTACAGCTTAAAGGACCACTATAGTGCCAGGAAAACATACTCGTTTTCCTGGCACTATAGTGCCCTGATGGTGCCCCCACCCTCAGGTTCCCCCTCCCGCCCGGCTCTGGAAAGGGGAAAAGGGGTAAAACTTACCTTTTTCCAGCTCTGGGCGGGGAGCTTCCTCGATCCTCCTCCGTTCCTCCATGGCTGAATGCGCAGCGGCAAGAGCCTGCGTCGCATTCAGCGGAAAGCATTATCAATGCTTTCCTATGGACGCTGCGTGCTCTCACTGTGATTTTCACAGTGAGAATCACGCAAGCGCCTCTAGCGGCTGTCAATGAGACAGCCGCTAGAGGCTTTGGGGGAAGGCTTAACCCATTCATAAACATAGCAGTTTCTCTGAAACTGCTATGTTTAAAAAAAAAAAATGGGTTAACCCTAGCTGGACCTGGCACCCAGACCACCTCATTAAGATGAAGTGGTCTGGGTGCCTAGAGCGGTCCTTTAATGCACTTGTTCTGTTGAGTATAATCATTATATGCAGGTATTTTAAATTGCCCCTAGGGACACCTCAATTCCCATGGGAAAGCATTGGATTGGCTAAAAATTGGCAATTCTGATGATGTCAACAAGGGTGGCGGGGCTAGCGCCGGCAGACCCACACAGCGCTGGAAATAAGGTGAGTATTATTAACTTTTAAGGGGGCAAGCCACCTAAATGGTGGGTTTAGCACTATAGGGTCAGGAATACACATTTGTGTTCCTGACCCTATAGTGTCCCTTTAAATGACATAAGGATGTTATTGGGATGGGAGTCTTTGTTTAAATTGTATTTCATGGAAACACGATGGAGCAAAATTATATTGTATTTTGAAAATATAGACATAAGGAGAGGTAAGAACAAAGCTCATGGATAGACCACTGATTATAGGGAATGAATGCATTCACTTACCGGTACATGCATGGGACTAAGGAGTGGCGTAGTTTCGCCAAGAGGAGGGCCAGCAGACAAACATCCTTCTCTTGAATTCCTGTCCATAGGTGATGTGTGAAGTCCAGGAACTAAAGATGCAGATGCGGCACCCAACTGCCTTAATTCCTCTATAACAACTTGCACACCCCCAATTTCTTCAACGTCTTCGTCATCTGGCGTTTTGCATCTAGCAGTGGGAATTGTTGGAGTTTTGGCTCTTTCAGGTTTTTCGCACAACTTCCTTAGATTGCTGACTTCCTCTTGTAGGCTACTCAAGAGGTTGCTATTTTCCTTAGCTACACTTAATGCAGATTCAGCCAGTCCTACTGCCTTCTCCATCCTCTGATAGATAAGGTGTAGAAGTTGCTCACATCCCTGGACTGCAACTCCTTGTCCAGTTACTGTGACAGGAGTAACTCCTTCAACATGAACAGTTCCTCCTTGGTTGTTTTCATTTTTACATCCACACTTAGCCTCATTTTGTCCCTGTGGAGGAGTGAACAGGATGGTGGCACTAAATGACATTTTTGAAACACTAAAAAATACAGGGTTAGAAACAATTTATGATACACTAGAAGTGTGACAAGGTTTGTAAAATTTTAAAGAACACTGGATTTGCCTTTGGAGCTAGAGAAACGTAGATCCATAGAATTCAATGCTACATGCTCAGAAAATTTGCAATCCAACTGTCATATTTTTGGGGTGTCATGGCTTCTAGCTCCAGGGGATCTTCAGGCCCTGTAATAAATATTTAGAATGGTCCTGTATTAGTATTATGCCAGATGCAAGAATAATTGGCTGTTCTACAATTTAATTGCAAAAATTCCTTATATAGTCTTTTAACGGTAACCCTGTTTCTCAAATGAATACTTTTGCTTCAAACCATATACTTTCACCAGCTGTCTTTGTGACTAGTGCGGCAAGGCATTTTACACCTAAGAACGTTTTTTTTTTTTTGTTGTTTTTAACACTCCACTTTTTATTTCACCAATGTTTTCCCTATAAAATTAGTTGTGTGACTAATCTTCCTCCAAAGTAAAATGCTCCAAAATATTTTTTATTCTGTAGATCCCTTCTTTAATATGTCAGGGCTTATTTTCTACTCTAAATATTCTATAGAATTATAAGGCAGATGCTGGGATAATTTGCTTTGGTGATATTTTGTCTTGTGTATATTGTACACGAAGATAATATCCATTCTGCCTGATACAAGTGACACAACTAAACATATTTTGCTTGAATACTATTTTCCCATGTACCTAAAATGTAATAGACTCTTGAATGGTAAATTCCTCTTGTGCATTACCTTCAGTAGTTCATGCAGTACTGGGTACATTGATGATGTAGTTTGCATAATCTGTGAGATCAAGTAAAGGAAGTTTATAATATTGTTTTACTGTAGTGGTTATGGTGTCAGGAATATCCTGCCCCCGTAAGGAGTCAAACCGTTTATGAAGTTTGACTTCTTAGCTGTTGTCCGCTAGTCTCTGCTCCCCGCCTGCATTATTATTCCCGAATGCAGGAACTTCCATGAGCTATTTTGAGCTGCGTCTTTCAGTGCCAGTCTTAGCTCATTGGCTCTCAGGCATTAGTAGTGAGGCGGGGTGCAGTTTTTGGCAGAATCCAGGTAAGAAGTAAGATGGGGTGCCAGTGCACTAATGACACACCGAAGTAGTAATGGTTCTTGGAGTGTTCCTTTAATGCACTGTTGTTGTGGTGCTTAAAGTGACACTTTCAACTTCAAAACTAAGCTGTGTTGCCAAGCTGTTCTTTATTCAAACAAGAAATCTATATATTCTTAAAAGGAAAAAAAAAACAAATCTATTTTCTCTCAATCTCTCCAACAACCCTACTCACTTGTATTCCCCATTAAGACAGCTCTCAACATTGCCTTTGTTTTCCTTTTCCAATAATATTAAAATCACAGTGTCTGTCACTATAGAGGAATAATTTCCCCTATTCCGGTGTAATATCCCATGAACATACCTAGTGTGTGACTACCCCTGTGTGTGTAGAGTGCAGCTCCCTGCTGTATGTCTGTATCCCACGTGATGCGCTCTCTCTATAAGGGGAGGGAAGCTGTTCTTACAACACGCAATAGTTCAACCCTTCCCGCGCTGGGTGACGTAGAACTTAGGGGGCGTGGTCTGTATACAGAATGGACTTTGCGTCACGCACCCCAAAGCCATTTTCTGTACGCGCGACATACAGAGAGCCGTGTACCTCGCGTGCCCCAAAGCCACGCCCCTCTGCAAGCCGATTGGGTGACACCGCACTGGGCTCCGATTGGCTGCCCAGGACAGTCAGTAATGCAGGGTGATGGGGTGGTGGCTGGGTCCCCTCACACCGCACTCATTAACCCCCAGCATGCCAGGGCACACCGCACTCATTAACCCCCTGCATGCCAGGGGGTGGGGAGGCTCTCATTATCCCTCACTGCAGCACACACACTGCCGCTCTCCGACTGCTAACCCGTCATGCGCCTTGTTCCCGCTGAGCGCTCCCTGTATACCGTGGTACCAGGGCGGCAATGGGAGCTCTGACTGCCGAGTGCATGGCTAGGCAACAATAGTCTCGCCAGATTGTGTGGACTACATCTCCCATGATGCTTTACCATCACTGTGGCTGTAACAGAGGGAGTCGTAGTGCACAACATCTGGAGTGCAAAAGGTTGCCCGACTCACAGCCTCGGGAGCCACTGTCACAGGTCTGGGCATCATGTTCAATAAGAGCAAAGGCTGACTGAGCACCATGGGACATGTAGTTCACACATATCTGGAGTGTCACAATCACTTATTACTGCCCTATGTGCACACATGGCCCTAACCTCACAAGGATGCTGCATCTCATTACACCTGGCCGGTAGAAGACTGGCTGAGCATCATGGGAAACGTAGTCCATCATAGCTGGAGTGCTAGAGAGCGCCCACAGCAAGAGTAATTAATTAACACATTAACCCCTTCTTGGCACCGCGTAACTAGGAGGAATAAAACTGCACACCCACATGGGACAAGTAACCTCTTCCTCGCCAACTCCCCTCACAGAACAACAGTAAAAGTAACAATTCTACAAAATGTGAACATTCTCATTTTACTACTACTAAGGTTTACAAGTATACCTATCCCATTCAAACATGATACAGAGCCAGGAGCCACCCCCACCAGAGTTAAAGATACAAGTATGAAGACAGCACAGAATATACCAGCAGGGGGAGGGTAGGAAGGGCACAGAGTAAATATACATCCAGGAAGAGAGGCAATGTGAAAAGAGCCTGGATTAGGGTGAGAAGAGAGGAGAGAAGGTTCAATAAATGTGGTTTTGGGGTGCTCTGATACCCCCAATGAGTTGCAGTTCTCGGTTTTGTTAAAGGATACGTGAAGGTCAGCATGTCCCCTTTGTATTCTTGGTGCTATGTGTGCACAGCCGGGTGCACAGCTGGTACACGCCTCTCCAGCCTCTCTATTGGAGAGCTGGGCACAGGAAGGTGGGATCACACTGCGTACACAGGGGCCCTTCAGGGGAATCTGGTACATTTTAACCCATTTTTAAAAAGGACATTGAAACCTGCTATTTATTGTGAGTGAGTACACACATTTAGCAGTACACCCCCAATATCGGTTTTAATATTTATATTAAAAATATATATATTTCTTATAGCAAATGGTGTGGCAGTAAATCACCACAATCATGCATGATGCATTATATAGCTAGTGCATTGAGCAAATCAACAATCATGGCACTGTGCAATACCAATTCATCACATGAAACATTCTGTGTTCATCCAACTGGCCTGTGTGAGCACTTGATGCCATTTTCACTTGAACAATGTTTCCACCTATTATTAGGGTTTATATATGGGGATTTAGTCACTAACTTGGAATTGTGGAAAATCCACAACCTCTGTTTAATTAAACAATCCCATATTTTTGCAAATTACCCTGCTTGTCAAGGAGAGTACCAGGTGAAATCCTAGAGAAAAATTCTGTACAAATCCAGATTGGTTCTATTTATGCACAGGTTTATTAACCCCACTCTACACATGTACAATTAGTTTATCAAACACACATTGTGTAGTCATTGCAATTCATTCTAATTATTTAGTATTTACTTGTAAAAACTGTTTCGTAGAATAAGCATCAAAATTGGAAATGTGTTTCTTGGCAAATTTTTTCATGATTTATTCTTAGATAGGTCATACTATACTGTCACTTTTGTGTGCAAATAGGTACAGCAGTGCTTGTCTTGCCACAACAGCATTCACAAGCGCAGTCGTAAGAAACCTAGTATAACATAAGTTTGGCATGTTTAGAACTTGCACATTTTTTGATATTTAGTGATTCAACATTATAACATAAGCAAACATAGGTAAATATGTCAGTTGATCGACAGTAGTAAGTATGAAAATAAACAGGTTATTTGAACTGACGGTAGGGTAAATAGAGTTATGTGAGCGAGGCGTATACGAAAGCTATGCATATAGTTTATGCCATATTGACAGGTATTCGTTATCTAGATTAGGCATATAAATGTAACCAGGACTACCCTGTCAATTGTAGGGTATAGCTAGCTAGGATCAGGCATAGACGGTCAGAAAAAGATAATAGGTGTAAACGTGTTTGACAGTACTAGAGGGATTAATTTTGTTAGTACCACTACCACTGGGTGCCCCTGGTGTTAAGAGGTATACATATACTACAGCTAGCCCTTCCTTGCAATAATGGACTGACAGTGTGGTATTAGAGTCCATGGCTGCAGAGAAGAGTTGGTCTGTGCCGATATTTACTCATCCGATGCCTGTAGATGGAGCTTCAGCGACACCAGTGTGCAGCGTTCTGCTGGGCTGTGGTGAGGGACAGCTGGTGCAGCCTATGCCTCTGCTTGGTAGCGTGGGAGAGTCTCTAGGCTTTGCTGCGTGAGGGAAGTATGTCAGGGCATCTTCTTCACCCTCCCCGGCATGCAAGGGGCTCTGTCGCAGGCATCCATGGGCCTGAGCCGCACGTGAGGCCGATATCATCTCCTCCAGAATGCCGTGAGGGACTTGGGTTGTCTTATGCCTGAAGCAGGTACCTGGTTTCCGTCGTCTTGGTCTGAGCGTTGCGGCAGCAGCCGGCATGACCCTCTGCCCCTGCAGGTCAGGTCAGCTTGAGAGGTGCTTTTGGGCATGATTTCCACACAGGGAGGTCAGGGTCTCCGTGTCCCCCGCCACTGCGCTTTCTCCGAAGTGACTTTGGCTGTGAGGGTTGCGCCTGAGCCTCCAGTCGCTGCCAAAACCTCTCAAATACCCTGTCTAGGCGTTGCAGCATGCCATCTATCAGGTTTGGTAGGATCAGCTCCTACATGTGCCCCTGTTCAGGGAACTCGTCCGCCATCTTAGGTGTGTCAGCCAGGATCTCCATGTGGCAGGAGTCAGTCCTCTGGGCGCAGAGTGAGTTCACTGGGCAACAAGGGGGGACCTGGGTGACCCCCGCTGGTCCATAGGCTGACTCTGTTTGAGTGTTTTGCCGCCAGGCAAAGTAGGAGAGCGGCCGCCTCTCCCACGCCCGGTCGCTGGTAGGCCGCATAGCTTTGAGTCAGGGTTTCCAGTGGCGGAGAAGCCCCTAAGAGGTATCCCCAGCATCACCAGTGTGTCGGTAACAGGCTTAGTTATGCTCTGCAGTCGGGCAAGTTGTTGGCTCAGGTTTAACGTCGTTTGTAGGGTGTCAGTCGCCGGACCCCATGTAGCACGTTTTGCTTGTTCAGTGGCCGGGCTCCACCCCCCATACTTTTACATTTTAAATATCCTGAGATTGAGTTGTAGTTTTACCAAGTATGCTTACAAATAAAAATCCCTTTAAAAAAGGTTAGTTATTTATTCTGCTAAAAGGAACAGTCAATATATCATAGAAATACCCGCATTCCTATGTACAACGCAAATCAAATTTTATTACATGACCAAAAATTAAAATATGTTCAGAATTAATCTATATACACCTATCAAGGAACACTAATCAAATAGTTGATATAAAATCAATTTATACTATATGCTTAAATTCTCCATAGAATAGTCCATCAAACAAAACACAGAAAAAATGAAAAATTAACACATCCACTGTAACAAATGAGCAAATACATGCATAAATTGCTGTACAATATATTTACCTCATCAATCAAAAGAGGAAAGAAAAATCACCCAACGTTTTGGCACAAATGGCCTTTATTAAGGGTGAAGAGTAAATAAAGTCACTCATCAATAGGTATATATAGAAAAAACAACAAATTAAAAAGGCAGTAGCTACTTCCCAAACCAATCAAGTACCCAACTTGAAAACTAAATCACCTGTGTAACCAAGGTAACACAAGTAAACACCAACGTAAATGTAAATATGAAAAAAACAGAGATGGTGGACTGTTGCTACAGAAACACTCCAAGCATAATCAATCTAGTTGTCATAGTGATTATGGTTCCAGAATTGCCCTTATGCCCTATCAGTGTGTGTCATGATCTTGTGCAGGTCAGATAGGAGACTTATGCCAGGGTTGTTATTTGAGACTTTATTTGTGCTTTTAGACATATTATGCAAATTGAGTAAAAACAGACTTTAGGCAATATGCCACGAGACAGGATAATTGCAAATAAAGAAAGTCTCTGATCTCCAGGTAGGTTTGAAACAAAGGGAGTTTGGTATCAACAGCAGGCTGGTTACAGAGGCAGGCTGGTAACAGTAGAAGGCTGATAACTGAGGCAGGTTTGTAACACAGGATGGCTGATAACGGAGGCAGGTTTGTAACACAGGAAGGCTAGTAATAGAGGCAGAGGTCAAAATCATACGTGAGAGTGGAGCAGGTTTGAAGGCAAGTCTGGAGCAGGTTGGTATGGAGCAGGGTAGAAGGTAAGTCTGGAGCAGGTTCACAGGAGCCAGGAACTGAAGTCTTTAAGGTAGATCACCAACTTCAATGTAAAGGCCCTGTTGTGAGCAGGGTGTAGCCTCATGTAGCTGAAGCAAGTAATTAGTCCTAGGCAGGTGAGGACTGAGGTGACTAGTGGCTAGGGAGGCCACTAGTGGTTGAGAGCTGGAACTTCTATTTAAAGGAACAGAAACAAAAAGATAAAACATAGCTGTCAGGTAAGTAGTCAAACCATTTAAGAATAGTTTACTGAAGTCCGCCAGGGTTTGATCGCCTTCTTCTCTGGAGCCTGGAAGCTCCTACAAGCAGTGCTATCTTAACAGCATTATTGGCCCCCAGGCAAAGCAGTGCACTGGGGCCCTGCCTACACAACAACTTACAGAAATAGAAATTTAACTTATCAATAAAATTAAGATTATATTAAATATTAAATCTACATTAAAAAAAATCTGCATGTTCCCTGGTGGTCTGATGGGATCTGTATAGCCTGCAGCTCCTCTGGCTACAGGCTGTCTCCTATCCTCCCGAGCTGAGCACTGTGTGGAGCATTGCTAGGGGAACGAGCGACAACGCTTCACACCGCCTGCTCTTTGATCTCCTTACTGACCCGAAAGGGCCCATGGCAAGAGAGCAGGGCCAGCTCTCCATGGGCCGGCAGGGGAGATCAAAGGATCTCCACTGTCGGCCTGGGCAGCACAGTGGGGTCCCCATGCCTGTGGGGTCCCCGGGCAACTACCCAGCGTATCCATGGGAAAAAACATCCCTGACTCATCAGAAGTGGTGGCCTGATCTAATCACAGTGCTTCTCCATAGGATTGGCTGAGACTGACAAGGAGGCAGATCAGGGACAGAGCCAACACAATTCAAACACAGCCCTGGCCAATCAGCATCTTTAACTAAAGTCATACTTGGACTAAATAATATCAAGTCACAAAGCCTTTACACAGTGCTTAAACCAATGTAAGTTTGTGTCATGCGGTATCTCTTCCGGGTTCGGCACTTCCGCATTGCGGAGCCGGCCCTGTCCCCTTCTGACGCGGCTCTGACAGTACTTAGGGAGACTGCGCCAGGGAGATGGCGCTTGGTGATTGTGGGACCTACTTCCAGGTATACACGCCGGCTCCACAAGCTCTGACAAGCCGTCCCAGCCTTTGAGCCAATGCAAGGATTGCTGCATGCCATAAAGGATTACTGGAGAACGGATACTTTGCTAATTTACAAGTGGACTATAACTCTGAACTCTTGGAGGACAACTCACCTTAACCTTAAGTATATCTTTCAACTATTGTCTGCAATATCATTTATTATTGGAACCAATTCCTGCTTGTTTAAATCTTCTCTGCTTCAAGTTACTAATCATATGGAGGACAACTCCCATCATGCTTATTTACTATGAACTGTTTCTTGCTTTGCAAATACTCTCTGCTACCTGCTTAATGTTTCTATTGAAGATTATTCCCAGTAACCTAAAGAATCTTATTAACCCCTTAAGGACGGAGCCAAATGTACACGTTGTGAACAAAACAAAATGTAAACAAAACCTGGCATTTGCGCTACATGTCTGTCCAACCGTAATACACCTCTTTCATAGTAAATGCACCCACCCTTATTATATATCATTTTATTCAGGGGAAACAGGGCTTTCATTTAATATCAAATATTTAGCTATGAAACATAATTTAATATGAAAAAAATGGGAGAAAATACGATTTTTTTTTTTTTTTTTAGTTCTAAATGACATTTTAAAGGTCAGTGTCATAATACTGTTTGCTTTTACTGCAATAAAATACACATATTTGTATTTAGTAAAGTCTCACATGTAAGACAGTACCCCCTATGTACAGGTTTTATGGCGTTTTGGGAAGTTACAGGGTCAAATATAGCACGTTACATTTGAAATTGAAATTCGCCAGATTGGTTACGTTGCCTTTGAGACTGTATAGCAGCCCGGGAATGAAATTTACACCCATAATGGCATACCATTTGCAATAGTAGACAACCCAAGGTATTGCAAATGGGGTATGTCCAGTCTTTTTTAGTAGCCATTTGGTCACAAACACTGGCCAAAGTTAGCGTTAGTATTTGTTTGTGTGTGAAAAATGCAAAAAACGCCAATTTTGGCCAGTGTTTGTGACTAAGTGGCTACTAAAAAAGACTGGACATACCCTGTTTGCAATACCTTGGGTTGTCTACTATTGCAAATGGTATGCCATCATAGGGGTAATTTTCATTCTTGGGCTCATATTTTTTTTTCATATTTCATATTTCATATTTAATCAGTATCAGTCTACGTGTAATTTGATATTAATATATATATATATAATTATATATGTATTAATAGTAAAATACACCTAGACGGTGTACATGTGTGTATGTATATGTGTATATATATACTTAGATCATATATATATATAATATATATATGATCTAAGTATATATTATTTTTTTTTTTACACTTTTAACTCATTTTAATTTTATTTTCAGCCAGCAGGGGGACCACCTGTCATTACAGGCAGCCCCCCTGCTGGCAATACAGAAGCCAGCTATCCCCGGCCATGTGATTGTGGGGTCCTCACAAGGACCCCACTCTCACACGGCCGGGGGGCTTCGTGGAGGACAGACGTGCCGCGGGGGGCTCCCTGGGAGTCCCCCCCACCGCGATCGCCGGCGTGGGACCGCCGTTGACCGGGTAAGTACAGAAAGACCGGAGGGCGTACTATTACGCCCGGCGGCGTTTAGAGCCGCCTATAATAGGGCGTAATAGTACGCCCTCCGGTCTAAAGGGGTTAAAAAAAAACTTTTTTTTTCTGAGGAAATACTTATTAATGAACTTGGATTGTTTGATAACTTGCACTTTCTTCTTATTGGATTATTGCCTATATGCAATTCATTTAAGTTTATCAATCATTAAAACTTCGTTTGATTCTCAAATTGCCAGCAATCCTCTCTTTTCTTAAAGCTACAGTATTGATACTTTAAAGATTCTTTGTTTCTTTACTATTGTAATTAAGGAGTTCTACAAGCTGCAGTTGAGTTCCAATCCAAATAACTCAAGTAGCATAACAGAATCACCAAGCCCAAAAAATGGAACCAGCAAATGTGAATTCCCAAATTACCTCTTTAAACCACAGGGTTGAAATACTCACACAAGGCATGCAGGAGACTTCTTTCTTATATTAGAGAAATGCAAAATAAAGTTACACATTCTTCAAGTGACCCTGCTGTCTGCAATCCCGAAAATTTTTATGGAGATCCCTCCAAATATAGAGAATTTTTGAATTCATGCAATTATTGTTTACTCTCAAACCCAGGGCTTACCCCTCAGACAGGATTAAGGTCTGTTCAATAATTTCCTACTTAAGGGGTGAACCTATGTCCTGGGCACATTCATTTCTGGAAAATGAAGATCCTATTTTGGATTCTTTAGATAATTTTGTCATTACTTTATGAGGACCCTAATAAGCAAGCTACTGCTGATCTTACTATTAGATTATTACAACAAAGAAATCGTCCTGTGGAGGATTATATAGCTGAGTTCAAAAGATGGGCTTCATAAACCCAATGGAATGATATAGCTCTACGTAATCAGTTCCGTTTAGGATTATCTGAAACAGTTAAAGATGAACTATCTAGAACCACTCTTCCCCCAACGCTTGATACATTGATTCAACTCTCTATTAGTATAGATAGAAGAATCAGATAATGTAAAGCTGAAAAGGCTCTCTCTAATTCATTTTGGAAAAAACCCAGTCCACCTTTGCTAATGCCTAATAAACCCTTGCAACCCAGTGAACCTATGGAAGTTGGGTTTACTAGGGGACCTTTGTCTATGGAAGAAAAAACAAGGAGGAGAGACTTAAATCTTTGTATGTACTGTGCCTCTAAAGAACATCTCTTATAAGAATGTCCTCTTCTAAAATGCTCTAAGGGAGGTAAGCCTAAAATTAATACCTAAATTCTAAAAACACTACCCTCTTCCTCCTCTCATCAGTTTGCTGTACCTCTAATTTTACAGTGGGACAAAGAAGGAATCAAGACTGAGGCCATTATTGATTCTGGTGCTACAGGGATATTCATAGATTCTTCGTTTGTTGAAGCCAATAAAATCCCTTGTCTGAAAAAAGCATCTTTTGTCTCCATCAGAATTTTGTCTCTGGTCCCATAAAAAATGAAACTATTCCTATTTTGACCACTATCAATAATAACCATTCAGAATTTCTTGTTTTCGATATTATAAAATCCCCCCTTTTTCCAATCATCTTAGGAATCAACTGGTTACAAATTCATAATCCCTTCATTCGTTGGGCTCCCTTTTCTCTCACCTTTGACTCAGAGTATTGTAAGGACAATTGTCTCCCTCAAATTCCTATATTTCAATTAAGTCACAAAACTATAATACCAGAACCATATTCGGATTTTTCTGATGTATTTGGTAACACAAAAGTTGATGCTCTTTCCAGAATTCCTGTTAATCCTTCTCCAAAAGAGAAAACCTTCTCAATGTTATCAAACAATAAAATAATTGGATTTACAACTACCATATTGGATGAAGTGAAACAATTATCTCTCAAAGAACTTGAACTACCTTCAACTCCTAAATTGTTCAAAAAAGATGGAATCTTTTATTTCAAAAACAGAATTTATATTCCTCCAAAACTCCGACATAACCTTTTAAAATTAATTCATGATTCTCCCCTTGTTGGACATCCCGGGATAAAAAAAGACATTTGAACTCTCTACTAGACAATATTGGTGGCCTCATCAAGACAAAACCATTGAAACTTATGTAACGTCTTGTCCAGTTTGTCAAAGGTCCAGTACCTGGGAGACCTTGGCAATCTATTTCCATGGATTTTATGGTGGAACTCCCTCCTTCACAGAAATACACCACCATCCTTGTTGTAGTAGACCGTTTCACAAAGATGTCACATTTCATTCCTTTGAAAAAGTTACCCTCATCCTCTGAACTTTCCCAAAATGTTATTGACAAAATAATCAAATTACATGGATTCCCTGAAGAAATAATCTCAGACAGAGGTTCTCAATTTACTTCACGTTTTTGGAAGGAAATTTGTTCTTCACTTCAAATCCAACGTAAACTTTCTTCAGCATACCAAAATATGGAAATGTCCTCATTGTTTAATCAATTAAAGAAAAACCTTGAAAGTTCTATGATCTTACATAAACGGAATGATGACATTAAAAGGAGACCGCCTCCTAAATATAAAACTGGTGACGCTGTTTGGCTATCTTCAAAAAATATTTCTACTAACCATCCTTCTAAGAAACATTATTAATGAAAATGCTGTGAAATTGAAACTTCCTCCTTCACTTAAACTACATCCTGTTTTTCATGTTTCCCTTCTCAAGTCTTTTTTCCCAGATCCCTTCCATAGGGAACAATTGTCAAAGCCTGACCCCATTGAAGTTCAAGGTGAATTGGAATATGAGATAGAGAGAATTCTTGACTCCAGACTTCATAGACGTAACTTACAATACCTTATTAGATGGAAGGGTTATGGAGATGAAGATAACACAAGGGAGAATTCCTCTGAAATTCATGCAAAGAAGTTAGTTACTGCTTTTCACAAAAGGTACCCTCAGAAACCGAGGTAACAGCACCCAGAGTGTGCTCCTTAGGTGGGGGGTCCTGTCATGCGGTATCTCTTCCGGGTTCGGCACTTCCGCATTGTGGAGCCGGCCCCGCACCCTTCTGACGCGGCTCTGACAGTACTTAGCGAGACCGCGCCGGGGAGAAGGCGCTTGGTGATTGTGGAACCTACTTCCGGGTATACACGCCGGCTCCACAAGCTCTGACAAGCCGTCCCAGCCTTTGAGCCAATGCAAGGATTGCTGCATGCCATAAAGGATTACTGGAGAACGGATACTTTGCTAATTTACAAGTGGACTATTACTCTGAACTCTTGGAGGACAACTCACCTTAACCTTAAGTATATCTTTCAACTATTGTCTGCAATATCATTTATTATTGGAACCAATTCCTGCTTGCTTAAATCTTCTCTGCTTCAAGTTAGTAATTATATGGAGGACAACTCCCATCATGCTTATTTACTATGAACTGTTTCTTGCTTTGCAAATACTCTCTGCTACCTGCTTAATGTTTCTATTGAAGATTATTCCCAGTAACCTAAAGAATCTTATTAAAAACTTCTCTGAGGAAATACTTATTAATGAACTTTGTATTGTTTGATAACTTGCACTTTCTTCTTATTGGATTATTGCCTATATGCAATTCATTTAAGTTTATCAATCATTAAAACTTCGTTTGATTCTCAAATTGCCAGCAATCCTCTCTTTTCTTAAAGCTACAGTATTGATACTTTAAAGATTCTTTGTTTCTTTACTATTGTAATTAAGGAGTTCTACAAACTGCAGTTGAGTTCCAATCCAAATAACCCAAGTAGCGTAACAGTTTGGAGGACACTGCCTTTGAGAATAGTCAGGAATTCAATGTGGATTTCAAATTATAGACCATAATGGCTGAAATGGTAGCATAACTGGATTGGAGACATTTTTCAATTCAACTATTATGGAATTACAGTAAAATTTATTTTTAATTAAAGTACCACTATAGTGCCAGGAAAACATACTCGTTTTCCTGGCACTATAGTGCCCTGAGGGTGCCCCCATCCTCAGGGTCCCCCTCCCGTCGGGCTATAGGGGAAGGGGTTAAATTTACCTCTTTCTCCAGCGCCAGGCGGGGAGCTCTCCTTCTCCTCTCCTCCTCTTCGGCTGAATGCGCATGCGCGGCAGGAGCCGCGCGCGCATTCAGCCAGTCCATAGGAAAGCATTGTCTTCTCACTGTGAAAATCACAGTGAGAAGCGCGGAAGCCCTCTAGCGGCTGTCAATGAGACAGCCACTAGAGGCTGGATTAACCCATTTATAAACATAGCAGTTTCTCTGAAACTGCTATGTTTATAGAAAAAACGGTTAAACCTAGCTGGACCAGGCACCCAGACCACCTCATTAAGCTGAAGTGGTCTGGGTGCCTAAAGTGGTCCTTTAAATGTTTAATTAACTTTTGTGAATAACCTTCAAAGACTTTGCTCTGCAACCAGAGATACAGTGCATTCAGACCCCTTAATTGTATT